CCCCCATGGCCGGTGACGACTGATCCACCAAACGACGCGGAAGTCCTCAAGGAACTCCAACTCTTGAAACGTTACAAATCACCGGGCCCAGATGACTTACCTCCAGCTCTTTTTAAAGACGGTAGTGACTTTCTGACTAAGGAATTGACTATGTTGTTTACAAGGGTTTGGTAATCAGAAGGTGTTCCAACATCGTGGAGCAGGCTGGTTTTCGTTCTGGTTGAGGATGCATCACATCTTCACCCTCCGCCAAATGTTAGAACACCGTCATACTTATCGCAGGCCAACATTCGTAGTGTTTCTTGATATCAGGGCTGCCTTCGATTCGTTGGACAGGACTGTTCTCTGGGATTGTCTATTGAAGAAGGGTGTGCCTGAGAAGTTCATTAACATCTTAAAGGCACTGTATACGAACACCTCAGGCAGAGTGAGGGCATACAACCACCTTTCTCCCTTGTTCCATTCAAACAGTGGGGTTAGGCAGGGTTGCCCGATCTCACCATTCAACTTCAACTTTGCCATCGATGACATCCTGGAAACAACTCTGATGAATGTATGTAATGGCGGTGTGGATCTGTTGTCTGGAGAACGACTTCTCGACCTCGAGTATGCGGATGATATTGTCTTACTGTGTGATAATGCCCAAGGCATGCAATCCGCACTTAATCAGTTGGCAATCAGTGTCCGCAGGTACGGCATGTGCTTTGCACCCTCCAAGTGCAAAGTACTCCTACAAAACTGGCAGGATTCTCATCCCTTACTCACCCTGGATGGTGAGCAGATTGAAGTAGTTGAGAAGTTCGTGTATCTAGGTAGCTATATAAGTGCTGGTGGTGGTGTGAGTGATGAGATTGATGCACGTATAATGAAAGCCAGAGCGGCTTATGCCAATCTGGGCCATCTTTGGCGCCTTCATGATGTTAGTCTGGCTGTAAAAGGTCGGATCTACAACGCGTCGGTGAGAGCAGTTTTGCTCTATGTTTGTGAAACCTGACCTCTCCGAGTTGAGGATGTTAGACGTCTCTCTGTGTTCGATCGTCGTTGTCTCCGAAGGATTGCTGACATCCAGTGGCAACACCATGTTAGTAATGCAGAGGTTTGGCATCGTGTGTTCGGGCGCAGAGACGATAATTCAATTGGTGTCACCATCTTGAAACACCGACTTCGGTGGCTTGGACATGTTTTACGAATGTCGTCCCAGAGACTTCCACGTCGTGCATTATTTGCCGACCCTGGGACTGGTTGGAAAAAGCGGAGAGGAGGTCAGTGTATGACATGGTGTCGTGGCATGAAAGAAAGCTGCAAAGTGCTAGCTTCTGTTGGTCCTTCACGACTCCCTGGCTGGGGTCCGAGAGATGGTGCAACACGGTGGCTAGAGACGTTATCGGATATGGCTCAGAATAGAAGCCAGTGGCGATCCTGCTGCAACCTTCTTTTACTTTCTACATAAAGAGTGGTTCTAACTTTCTTAACTGAAAGAGTCTTCTGATTGTACATTTCAGTCCGCCTTATCTTTTCATCCCTTCTCTTCCTACTTTCATTATTTTGTGTGGCGCATATGTATCTGGTGCCCTTTTGTACCAATATGTATTTGTTTAAATAAATAAATAAAAGAAAGTCACCTGCTACGAGTACTTTTTCTGACTGTTTAGCTTTTTGAAGAAGTTCAGAGAGCTTTCTGTAAAAGTCATCTTTCTCTTCATCCCGTCTGCAGTCAGTGAAAGCGAGTCAGAAACAACAGAAAAGCAACGACGTGTGTCACTATCCTTCGGAGTTCTTATAAAACCGTTTAGCCGAACGGCACAGGCGGCTGTTGACAAGGATCCATTCCAATAATTATTGTTCTACCCTCATACTTATTACTATGCCTCCACCAGTCAGTACACGGGAATCTGCTGTTGGGTTGTTAGATTAACGGAGGGTATACCTCGTTGTCTTCTCATTTCGGCTAGGTAAGGCTAAGTGAATGACCACACTAAGATCCTGTATACGTGTTTCGGAAACACAGCATACATCAATGGTATGAGATTCTAGGGTTTTCGCCAAGGATGCCTGCCGGCCGATTTCACATAGTAGCATCGCTAGTATGCTAGTTGTCTCAAGGAAACACCTTACTGCTATCACACCTCTGTACATTCAGCGATACGACTTCGCACTCGGACCTTGGGTTTGCTGCTTTAATCTTACCGATCTTCAACTGACCTGCCTGTTATGGTATGTCCTTGAGGAACGATTGTTCCAGCCAGTATTGCTCGATTGGTTCATCACGATAGGCAAGCCCGACCACCACGTCAAGTTAGCAGTATGAGCAAATGTCTTTTCGGATTTGTCCGGAAACACGTGAGATATCACTACTTCAACCCCATGACTTGAGGCGTCCGATGCAACAACAATTCCAAAGCTAGGGTCAAGGTGTGTTAAAAGAAACTTTTAGCTCAGCACTGAGTTGACCTTGTTAAAAGATGCTTGACATTTTGCTGACCACTGCCAAGGTTTGTCTTTTGGTAATAATTCTTTCAGGGGACCTCTTGATGCATATCAGACAGAAATGTGCTGTAGTGACTAATTAATCCCAAGAATGATTTTAATGAAAGAACATCAGTTGGTGCAGATATCTTCTGAATGGCGTCTAGGTTGGCAGGGTCTGGTTGGTGACCGTTCTTACCTAAGATAAAACCAAAGTATTTGATCGAATGCATGAAGGAGATACACTTCCATCACTGGGTTAAGTACTTAATGTACTTGACCGGAAAAGTCACTGTCAGTTGAACCTATAACTATAATATAATCTAGATAAACTGCTGTTCCAGGTATACTTGTTAACATCTTATCCCTTATTTGCTGAAAGATGGTCGGTGCGGTGTTGATATCAAACGGTAGGCGGGTATATCGAAATAAATCTCGATGAGTGTTGGTAGTCAGAAGCTCTCTACAGTTATTATTTACTTCCACTTGCAGATAGGCATCCGAAAATCCAATTTTCGCGAAAAATGTTCCACCGTTAAGGTTAGCAAACAGGTTTCCAGGGTCTGTTAATCGATACTAATATACATCCAATCCAGAGTTTAAACCAGTTGAGAAATCGGCACATATCAGTATAATTTCACTGGTGCGGCCCATGCAGGGTAGTTGCTGTAATTTTCTTTTAAAATGGACGTAACTTCTTTAACTTGAAGAATTCTATCTGTTTATGCCTTTACTAACTGAACTGCCCCTCCCATTATTATCATTTCACTATCATGCACTAGTTTCTGTTCGTTATTGTTCTTCTTTTTCTTATATGCACTTTGCATTCTCCATCTCTTCACATCCTTATTATTATTGTGTGGCGCATATGTATTAGGTGCCCCTTTGTACCAATATATATGTATTGAAATAAACAAATTAATAAATACAACAAGTAGTCGTTGGTTTTTTATGAGTTGTTTCTAATGTTTTCTCCTTTTGGTGTTTTAACCTAGTAGCAGCATTGCCACTACTGCAGGTTAAATGTGGATTTACTTTTTCAATTAATTCATTGTCATGTTTGATGCTTTTCAGACGTTTGCACTCATCTATCAATGTCCTTAGTGTGATGTTTGGATTTTGGTTCAGTTGAGTTAGGTCTTGTCCTATCGCAGCATTTTGTGGTGGCTGAAGAGCATTGGTGAATATTAGACATTTAAATTTTTCCTCTGTCAATGAGAGTAACATGAACCGTTCACATTGTCTGTTGATATCTGCTAGAGCACTATTATCATCGGCTTCGCGTTTCACCAGATTTAGACACTGATATAGAATACTAAACAAAGAAGGTCATATCTGTCAGTTGATTTACCGTCTCTTCGAAACTGAGCTCTTGAGGTAACTTTAGCAATATGTAGTCAGCGTATTGTACATGTTCATTACTTCCCAACTTACGCTCCAACAATTGAGTCTTCCACGCGTCATCTCGTTTTGCAGAATTCTATTCTAAATGTATCTTCCCGACGCTTGAACGACGTTAGAAAGGTATTTCTACTTCTTGATAACACTGAGTTTGACGCGAATTAATATTATTATAATTTATTGTGTTGTTGTCGCAGTAACAACTATTATAGTGATCTTTTACGTATTAATACTACCGTGGTCCTTAAAATGTAGTAACATCACATAATTCACAGCTATTGTTGTTGATTACTTCGTTTTGTAAAGTGTTATATATATACTTTGATGTTTACTTACCTCCTTGTTTTTCCCTGAAACATAAAAGGGATCTTGAAAGTTCCGTCTTCTCTCCTTTTTATCTTTTATTTTATTTATTATTATTAACATTATTCAATATCATATTTTTGATAAAATATAGAATTCTCAACACAAAGTATTTCAACAAGTTTCCGTTTCTTACTTCTTAATCGATCCTGACAATAAATATTGAGTGATCGCCAATAAGATGTCAGCAGTTCATAAATGGATATCTGAATAATATACATTCTTTTCGATGTTTATTGCCAGCAACCACGATATCTCTAATTAGGCCTTTTGTAACTTTTATTGCTAAAGGTTGTACACTTTTCAGAAACTTGCCTGAATAGGTTGTGCGATTAATAACCATGATGATGTATTGAAACAAACAAAATTAGATAACTTATTGAAACATCTAGATAACAGAAACAAGTAGCCCAGTTGTTTAAGCAGGCCGCCATGAGGTTATCCTCGTTGATGTGTATCAGTTGTCCAGTGTACCTAATTGTGTTAGGTCCCGCCTTCGTATTAGAAAAGTCTCCTCTTTCCTTCTTCTACAGCCACTTAATTAACTTATTCAAGCCATAACAATAAGACAGCTTTGCTTTAGGATTCACTAGAGAACATTAATTTGAGTATGTAGGCTGAACTACATCGTCTTGCTTGTAGTATTATTTTTGACCTTGAAAACAGAGATTCGACAATATTTTGTTTATTGACCTTGTTTACTTATTAGCTGTATATCAAACATGTATTCTTCATGTTTATATAGTTCTCAATTCTATTTTGCATAACAGGTATTCAACCCTGCGATAAAAATAGTTGGTAATCGTGGAATGGCTCAACTAGTTGGTGGTAATCTTGTTTCTGACCAAACAACAAGAAGTTGAAATGCATCTGTGCTCTTGTTTGTTTGTGTCCATAAAACACTTTTTTTAAACAAATCTATAAATATGATTCAACTTACAACCTATCATTTTCATTTGTCCCCTTTTTTCGTATTGTATATTCCATATTATTATCCATATCTTATGGTCTTCACTGTGATGATCTAGTTTCATGTAGTTGTCTTTTCTTTTTCCTGTTTATTTGTTTGTTCAACCAACCAAAGGTCACTTGTTTTTTTAACAAAACACGGTGAATAACATGATAATTTTCTTCTCAGCTGTTGTATTTTCTCCCTGCTGGTTCCAGTGTATTATAGAAACCTTATAATTAACCAAATAAAATAGTTGTAATGTATTGTAACGAATAGTCTTTTAAATTTTCGGTTCATACTTGGATTTGTGTGACGAAAATAAACAAAAGATCAATATCTAAGGTATATTATTTATTTACTCATTGTATTACTTTGTAGAGTTAGGTTTGCACTCACATCTTGATCTTCATCGTTCTTTGTCATATTTTACGATTTGTAACAATAGTAAACTTTGTTTCTTTTGTATTTATTCATATAATTATATACGTTTGAAGCAGGGAAAATCTTTATTGTTTGAACGGGTTCGATACAGGCCTTTTTAAAATAAACTGCCATGTATTTTGCTGTAGCGTATGCATGTCTATCCCTTCTGTTACATAATAAAGTACTTCCATATACTATTTACTGCTTTCTTTTTTATTGGCAAGTTGTTTATGGAAGGTATTTACTTCTTTAGGCTTATAAACATTAAGATTGATTTATTCATATAGTTAATTGAAGATTAATAAATATCTCCCAGACCTTATCGGATTTTAAGCCCGTCCGGAAATATATACCATTACTTAATTCCAGTCGTATTATGTTGTGTAGTAAATTTTAAAGGGTGCCTAACAATTGCATTATAAAACATTAATTTCTTTCGTTTGCTTATCTTAAAACCTGTAGTGCGTTACTTCTGAAGTTGCCATTGGAAATATAGCTGGCCATGTTTATCAGCTTTGGATATTTATTTAATCTTGTCATGGATACGCTCTTAGGGATAACTTATGTTCTGCCTGACTGAGCATTTGATACTTATCCAAAAATTCTCTACCGTAATTAGATGTACAAATGATATCGTTTTATTAGTTAAGAATGTCGATTACAGGTAGAGTATAAAACAAATACTAGTCAAACAATATTCGTCAGACTTTTCACATCGAATTAGGTATTATATATCCCAATTAATAGTGTTCAGAGTGATAACGCCAACCTCTCAGTTCAGTGATTGTTGTTCTAAACCACGTGGAAAGATGTAATATTGTTGATTGAGTATCAAAAAGCAGTTTAAATCGCTGACTGAAGACTGGATAATATGGCCCACAACCAGTCTTAATGACCCAGATTTTACTTCTTTGTCTTGGACATATTATTTCACACTTTTTTCCCTAGCTCTTTCTCTATTGCTGTATTATTGTGCTAATCACTTATATATTGATTACTTCTCTGCACTAGTGGGAAATTCACTGACTCCGATCAACACATATTTGTAGCATATCTTGTGTAGTTTGGAGGTTTCTTTGGGAAATTATGTTCAACTTCTCGAATTCTGATAACATATTCTGTAGGGGTATGAAGGAATCATGTGAGCAAATTATTTATTATTATTCAATATCATATTTTTGATAAAATATAGAATTCTCAACACAAAGTATTTCAACAAGTTTCCGTTTCTTACTTCTTAATCGATCCTGACAATAAATATTGAGTGATCGCCAATAAGATGTCAGCAGTTCATAAATGGATATCTGAATAATATACATTCTTTTCGATGTATATTGCCAGCAACTACAATGCTTCTGATTTTGCGCTTTCCTAGCTGAGTAGGTTATGAAACTAATCGACATAATGATCTGTTGAAACAAACCGAAGACAGATAACTTGTTGAAATATCTAAACGACAGGAACAGGTAGCCCAGATATTCAAACAGGCCGCTCAACAGTATTGTATTCATGTATTAGCAAACCGTTCAGGTAAATTGTAAAAGTGGAATTATTTTTTTATAGTTCACTTTTTAAAATTTTGTCAGATGTCTATCAAGTCTGTTTTTTTAACTTTTTGCTATAAAATTAGTTGGTCCTAATACTGTTGGTAAATTATGATCAAATTGTGATTGATAAAATCAGTCCACTGATAAATTCGAATAGTCACTCTCTAAAATTAATTCAACGAAAATAACTTAGTTGATGTTGGTGGGTATTTCAACTCATTTGAATCCTGTGTTTTATCTACTGGAATTCTATTTCGTTGAATATTTACAATTGTTGTATTAAGGATATCGTCTTTTATATTACTGAATATTGATCTAGTATGTCTTCGTTTTGGGTGTCTATTTTACTTGAGGAATAATCATTAGTATACTTGAATCTGTGCTTATTTCTGGTATGCAAAGATGGTGTTAATATATGTCATGACTTTTACCTCTGTCAATCATCACTTGACAAAATCGCCAACTCAAATACCGACTTATATTACCTTTTTCTTGTGCTTAACCAATGACACGTTAAAACAGCATTAGCAGCCTTGTGTCAACTCTTAATCCTTATTGATCCTTCTCGCCTAGCCGTTTTCGTTGAATCCAGAATGCTATCTCAGCATCCACTGTATGAATCGTATATTTCAGACATACGTGATTTATATACAAGCAAACCAGACCATATGACACCATAAAGCAGAAAATAACAATTCTACAAGATCAAGCCCAAAGTGGCTGTGGGTATGGGATACTGTACTTAATCAATTATGAACAAATTAAGAATAGTAAGTCATATAACAATAGCCAATAGGACAAATGAAAGCTTATGATAAAATATATGAATATACATATAATCTAGTTACTCAATAGTTATGCAATAGGAATATATGTAATAATAGTCCATAAATAATTCCTAGAAGTTACCATTCATTTACTCTTCGTTCGGATATAACAACACAATGTACGCATTTTAGTTTATTAACTTTTATTGTTATGTCTCATAATCGGTCTATAGTATTTGGATATTAGTGTCTACACCAATAATTTGTATTGATCAATTAAGTATTTAAATAATTTTTTTGTATCACCATAAATTATTTACCAAATGAATGTTCGAAATTATTTATAATCACTTTTACAAAACGTGCATGTTTCTATGTATAAAAATGTTGATCGTACCATGATCATTAGATTATGATTTATTCGCAGTACGAAAACACGTAACATTACTGTACGTTAATTGCAGTTATATTAGTGAATAAACTTTAAATCAATTTATTTTGCAGTAAATCATTTTCCAAACAATTATGATATCACCATGGATCATGTTAGATAATTTGATAAGTAGTTAGATTGCATAGTACTATACTCTCTATGTAGAGCAATTTGTCTAACATTGATCTGCTAAATCTTATTATCCTTAACTTCTAACTGTAAATTCTTTTCGAAAACCAAAGTATTCAAATAGCAATATTTGATCTACCTGAGACTATTAATAATGTGTACGATATTTGTGTAAAGATTTTCTATTAGTGTATTTAATAACAATTCAGTCGTGTCTCGATCCTGTCCTTAGTTTTTGCGTTTTATTTTGTCCAAATAAATCATTATCCCAAGTAGTTATTTGGTCGTTTTTATTGATTGTCTTTGATACTACGTTGATTCTTATTAATTCTTATTATTAACAATCATTTCAACTATATTTTTCATAACTGAGAATAAAATTTTAGCTTTGTTTGTTCTGATATCCGATAAATTATCGTACCTATGAGCAAAAGTTTCCTAAAAACTACTTGTTCTTCATGTTATGGCTTAATTATGTTCAATAAACGCGGGCGACATTTTAATTCATACTGTTTAATTGATAAACCATAGCCATTTAGATGAAAAGTTGATTCCGATAACTTCGATTTCGTCATTCTAGATTTGTATATTCATCAACATCGAAAAAATTATTGACTTTTTCACTTACATCCATGGAATTTTAATTTTCCTTAGATGAATATCTACACTAGATACCCTTCCAGTGTCTATTCTACAGGACTTCAACACAACTCAGATCAGGAACACGTGACTGGCCTGATTAGAATGTGAGTATATTTCCACGCTAACAACCGACAACAAAATGTGTGATCAGTAAGAAAGGGATAATATTAAATGTGTATATTATTTGTATAATGTGAAGAAATTGAGGTTATTTAGGTTTACTAAAGTCGCGAATAATGTACACAATTGTACGAATGTGATGTCGGAGTTACCGTAATAACAATGAAATTAATGTCATAGTTTAATAAATAATTATAAATAGTTTATGTGAATGTGAGAATGGGTTGAGTTATATGGCATACGTTAACTAGTTTGATTTGGAGTAAGATATTCGTATTGTATGTTGTGGCTAACAATGCGTTTGAAAAAGCTGATCAGATCCTCTCCAAACAATCCCGATAACATCCTCAAAGTAAAAAAAGATACTATTATGATCCCTGTGGAAAGTTATTCTGGATTTGATATAAAGCCGAAAAAGCTTCCTTTATTTTGAATCATGTTTAGTGACCGTCAGTTTATTTTATTCTGTTACAAAATTAGATCGGTAATTGATTGAACTATCGTTTTGAGGATGAGTGTATCTATTATAGAAGTTGATTACACTTAGTTATACAAATTGAAAGATGTGTCCTACGGTTAAGTTTGTTTAGGGTTAACTTTGTCAAGCCCTACTATTGACTTATTTAATAGTGTCGTTAGAATAAAAGCAATTTTTTGTGACTCCGCATTGTTATTACTATCATGTCTGTGTGAACATGTATACTCGGTCATATGTGAGCGTTGGGATTTATCTAATAACTGACATCAAGGTGATTGATACAAGACGCCCACGAAATTATCTCAAAGCCAAGCCAATACACTAGGTTTTATCATACATAGATTCAATGTTTTCTGGTTAACATTGCATCTGTAACCAATACCAGTCCACTAATTTACGTTAAAGATTCACGTTCAGCACAAATGATTCCTCCATAACGTTTCCGAATAAATAACTATTTGATAAGGTGTTTTATGGGATTTTAAAATAAGTAACTTTTCTAACTACTATCAGCTGACGAATGATCAAAACGAAGGAATACTGGTCTATCCCTGCATCACGGTTATGATCATTACAGAAATCCACGATCATGAACTCACACGGGCTTAAATCCAAGAACTCCACACCCGGAGAGTCAACTAAGTCGGTAATATCACAGTAATTCAGTGATAAATTTCTTTAAACATCATGTAATATCACAAATCTCGAAAATCCATATCATCGAATTTTAACTCAATAATTTGAAGTATTGTGTTTATCATGAGAATTTAAAAATTCTTGATAAGAATTGATACACTGCTGTTTAGTTTTCAGGGTAACAGTACAGTATTTTTCGATTTATAATAGTTCTCTAGCTACTATTAGTTTATAATGAAAACTATCTTTGAACTAGACAATATTTCATAAAACATTTGAAAAATACTATCACTTAGGGTATTTCTTATTTTGCATCTGGAATTTGTTTTAGGTTTTACTTAGAAAAATTTCTTATTTTGATCAATTGTTTCAATTGACAAACACCTTCAGTAGTATTAGTATTCTTAAGATGCATCCAAATATATTTGCTACAAGATTTTTCAGAGTTCATTGGCTTTGATTGCATCACTTAAAACATTTATTTACAATATTTGTTCGTCTACTTTCATCTAATCAATAACGTGAAAAATGTATCTTGGTTTCACGGCATTTATGTGTACCAACGTTGGTTACCACAATGTGTTTTTAAGTATGAAAAAATAATCTATTCACAAAAATGTAAATCAATAAAATCTGTTAATAGGATGTCTACTATAAGTAGTTAATGATGAGAAATAACTCATGATAGGTGAGTTTACTACATAGTTCTCTCAAAAATGCGTTCCTAAAAGTGTTTACTGTTATATTTTCTTTAAAGACACCGTATTATTCTGCTCATATCTTAGGGTTGCCAAGTCGTAAATCACGTCGATCAATCCAGTACTCATAAAATTATTCGAAGATAAGTCACCGATGATGGTCTTTTCAATCTATATATAGCAGTTGAACTACTCCTGTAGAATTAGCTTCACAAATCGTACTCAGATGGTCTTGTCCTAGGGTGTTCGTGAACATGGGCCAGTTAAGTTAAGAAATAGATTACTAAGTCTATAAACAACCCTATAATTTCTTATCTGGTAGACAATAAACACTATTAAGATAGGAGGAGTCTAGTTTCTCATTAAGTCTGTTATGAAACCTGTATGATCATGTGATCTTCAAATGTACTTTGTTGACCAAATAATCAGGAATACAATATAAACGACCTACTAATGAAACTAAGCATCATTACTAAGGTTTAGCTTAATAATTTCAAATAGATTAAGCATTGTGTGGATTATTTGTAATACCTTAAAGAGCAGAAACTGAGATTTGCGACGCTTTGCAAACTGGTGTAAGTCGCTTCATCATAACTTAGTCACTATTACCTACCAGGCAAACCTGATTTTACAGGTCCAAAACAATGGTGTTGTGTTCCTTATTGCTACTGATTGGCATTTCAACGAACTTTGCTTCTGGGAAGATATGTAATCAAGTTTTCTAACGAACTGTTTCAAAAATGTCCTCGATATCTTTCTTCCTTTCACCTGTTACGTTTGAAGAAAATGTCTCCTCTAGGTAGAAATCTGGCATTTCAGTCAGATATATTTTAGATAGTAGTTTTGTATATGGATTATATCTAACCATATGGAATTTTAGTATTGGTGTGCTCAGCCCTTATTAAGAACCTATCCAGAATGACGTAATACGACGATTTGATTTAAACAACTTAGCGATTGCATATGCCTCCAGTGTAATGATAAGTCATGGCACAAAATATTAATAGATAAGGTTTATTCCAACCAAGCATGCCCTCAATTAGGGTAAGCAGGCAGACAAAGAACGGGTTAATTAAATGTATAAATAAATGTGTGGGTGAGATATGTATATATAGTCACATCATGCATGTCTATAAAAAATAATTCGAACCAAAATATACCTAGATCTAATCCGACAGGTCGTTGGAAAAACACGAATATTCATAAGTGTATGAGCGTACACAGATAAGAGTCTACAATTGTTCATAAGAGTGAGTACAAAGTAATCAATCACACGCCAATCATATATTTGATTGTAAAGCGCTTAACTTATATAATTTTAATACGCATCAAACAGATAAGCGTACAAAGTAACGAGAAAGAGTGAGATTTTTGATTCGTTCAGAATCTAGAATAAGCCTACTACAGTAGGTCAATACTTAATTAGTCTGTGATAGTGGTAGTACATAAAACCCGAGTTAGTTCCCAATAAGCTCACTAGAGAAGACATACTTGGAAAAAGCAACTACATCTCCCATGTACCTGGCGTCCTCATTACTATCATATTGATATTTTGTCTTTTTTAATGGTCAACATACACACTGACTTCATCACTGTACTGTCAGTGTCGAAACTGCATTTAAGCGACAACTCAATTCTTTTTTCTTATGCCCAACCAACGAATGAAAGAAATAAGGTAACACAACTCGTTGGTGAACTTGTTATCAGAAGAAGACAGGTAGCTAAACAATCATATTATGATCTGAACAAATTTTTTATAGTGTTATGGATTCATCTTACTACGCTAGCCGGTCACCAAATGCTAGTAACTGATATATTTGTTGTAATGAAAATAAAGCGACTCCAAAACACGATGTTCATGTTTTGGAAATAAGATCCAAAACGTAAGAAGTTTAATGCAATTGAAGTCAATACTGAATCAAGCTTGTCGAACTGTCTTAGACAAAATCCGCCATAACACCTGTAGGACCAGTCGTCCATCAGTATAGCTTTGCTTGACTTCGAAGAGAATTCATCTAGGGTGTTGCAGGTTATCACAGCATTACATAGGTTCCGCTCCAAGGTAAGGAAAGTACCCTCAATCGTTCTACTACCGATATACACTTGATTTATACTCCAGTTGTTGGTGTGGGCTGTGATATCTAAATTAGAGCATGTCAGAAAACTTACACAACCAAGAGCCTTTCGCACAGCATACTTTCATTTTATGCCAGGTGAATAAGAATTATGTGGAATGATCACTATGTAGAATAACCAGAATCATGTATATTGATTCCTTAGTAGTAAACGAACCTTACCGACCAATTTGAAATGCGGTTGCTACGTTAAGTTGCTCGACATGGCTTGTATTATGTTTCAATATTGAATGGTTGGTGAGACCTCAGACCTTGGCTTCGTCTTGCTTGGGACTAGTCAGCGAGGCTTACATGCAACTAAGGCTCCCCCACATGGAGTTTTAACCCATATTATTCTGAGATGCTAATACTGAGCTGTTCGTGTTTCGACAGACCGCCTGTAGGGCTAATATATTTACATTAATCAATGAGAGGCAACCGATATCCTTATTAACTTGTCTTTAGTGCTGACCTGAGGTATCCAAAAATTTCGACGCTTGTGGGTGCTATGCAGATACGAAAATGCTGAAGCAATACACGAGTTGTTGAGAAAACACGCATTCGGAACATGATATTCTGCCTAGAAGCGCTACGAGAAAGAAGCATAAGATGGATGACGGGTAGAAAAAGCTATATTTGCTTATCAACACATTATTTTTGGTTTTATGAATACCTCGAAACTAATGTCCTTTGCTTCATTCCAATTTTTGTCATAAGCTAAATGGACGCGACCTCTTCGTCCTTATTGTCTACCTCCAGTGGTTCGTTATGCAGACTCATTTTTCGTTGTTTTAATTCATTTGTTTGTTACACATAAACCGAAGACAAAAATACTAGATCAATTATATGAAGGTTAAGCGTTTAATACGAGATATCTGACGGTGTCATATGTGAGTACTGTTGAGGAGATCTATATACTAGGGTGAAACGGATATCCAGTGCTTTGAGGTTTTCAATGGTTGTTTAATTAACGACAGTCTGTGATGTATACTACAAATGAACAACCTTCGCAAGATTCCTATACTAGTAATTTATTAATAAACTAGGATAATAAACACAGATACAGAAAGATGAGAAGTAAAGCTAATAGATAAGAATGGGATATTTTCTTAGAGAATATACATGATTTTACAGACAAAGAAAAGATACTACAATGGAATGAGAAAATCAGTAAAACAAGGTTTTGAAACAAATAAAGTATCAATTACTCCAACATATTTCAGCGAATAAGTCAATCTAAACTGTTGAGGTTGTTAGTTCAAAAATATCCACCTCTATTTACATGATTCAGATAAATCAAGTTCTAGTAGGTACGGTGTTAAATATGTTATGATAATTGATGCACCTACACACAAAATATAAAAATAAAAACAATGAATGCTACGAACAATCAATAAAAAAATCTTTGATATGACGTTTAATAGTCTAAAAATGGCAACACAGTAACAAAGTTAATGTACATGTGAACTAGTATGTGTAAAAGCTTCTGTTAAAGTTAATTAAGTGGTTATTGCCACTGAATTGAAATTAGAATAAGGTAATAATTTTTAGTTTTTCAGAATATAGCTAATGATTAAAACAGGCTCATCTTTACGGACTTATTTTTTTTATTTAAATAGGGAAAATATATGCACAGATTTGTGATTACACTCTAATTATGTTTATTAACAAAACACACCCGATAACATGTCTGTAATTCGCACTCTTGCTTTTGGTATTGCACTAATTAATATATATATATATATATTATTTAGGATAATCAATTTTTTGATTTGTATAGTGTGATAAAATGACGTCTATTTGAAAAATGTGACTTGTTTGCATTTTGTTAATTATTTTCATAAATAATTGTGAAGACGTGATTACAAGTTATAACGAAACTGGTTGCCTTTAGGAATACTTTTTCTTCTGATGCAAATCATTTCAAGTTAACATCAAGTAAATTAATAAATTTGATCTAAATATCTATGATCTGATCAGTTGTATTTAAACAATAATTATTATGAATAGTTTAACAAAATGCAGAGAAGAAATAAGTTATATGTAATTATAATTTACCTTAAAAAGATTTATAATACAAACAAGAAATACTGATTAAACGACTACCACATGAACGAAGCCCCCAAATGCCCTGGTACGGCCCAGAGTGGGGAGAGTCACCTCTCCCTCTCGAAATGCTCTCATATGGCCACGCGTATATAGCCTCTGACAGGGAAGTCCTACTCACTGCCTTCTCGTGGCATCACTGTTGTTTACGAAATTGAGAGGACGAAAAGCGAATGTCCAGCGCTTTAACCGGGTTGGTGGACACGGAAAGTCCACCTAGGGGAGTTGGAAAACCCTCATTCCAAACCAATGGTGCACATGAGTTCCAGTATCCTGAAGGAACAAACGGCGTATGAACCAATCGTTGGTCACCGGCTACCATGGGACTGCATCTCCTCACGATGCTCTACTGCCTTGTGGATCAGACGTTTAGGTCAAAGGTTCCTGGCTTGTCCCCCTAAGAAAACCACCTACATCGGTTTGGGCACCCGGGCAGTATCACAGCCCTCACACAAATCGAATGAGATTTGTGTGGCGCATATTTGTTTGGTGCTTCCTTGTACCAATATTTATGTGTTCAAATAAATAAATAAATATGAACGAATATTCTTTTCAATAAATTTTCTGCAGGTTCTACTAAATTGTATATCCAAATTAATAATCCGAAAAGTGGCCAGGTTTAGGGCAAAGTACATGGTTTAAAGTTATAGTATGTAAACGGCAGATTAGGATTAAGAAACCAGAGCTATGTATACAAAGAAATATTTTCAACCGCTTCTAATACCATGGCCAAACACAGGACCAGTTAATCAATGTACCTACAACCTTTCTGAGTCAAATATAATTGTCTGTTGTATTTATTTGCATATCTTTGTATTACTATTATGATTATTATCAGCAAAGATGGATGGTGGGTAGCAGTGGAATCCAGGACGCCCGTTTCGTCCTATTATGGTTATTATTATTAATGTCTCGAATACATGATTCATTATATTAGCATTCATCCCACTTTACGATTTCTTATTAATTTCAACTATTTTTCTACATAATGTAGTCTTCCACTAGACATTTGATCGAATTTTTAATTGCACTATTATTTCTCTCACCTTATCTGATCCATATTTATTTTGATCATGAATAATCCTACAATTTCGCTTAACGTATAAGCTGATTCAAGTTAACATTCAATATGAGTTATCTCAACATTAACAATTTTAGTTTAGTTTACAATCCTCAACTCACATGTTATAACTTTGAATAATACACTTTGCCCTAAATCTAACCACTTTTCGGATTATTAATTTGGATATACAATTTTGTGGAACCTGAAGAGAAACTATTGAAAAGAATATTCTTCATCCATATAGTAGTCTTTTAATATGATGGGGATTTTTAAACAATCAAAATATTAGTTAAGCATAAGCAAACATTATCTGGTATGCAAATTTACCGGCACGACGGAATGCAGTCATCAATTCTAAGGCGGCTTGCTTTAAATCGATAGCCCCAGCATTTGCGGCATGTTTTAGCATTGCATATTCACCAGAAACATGATAAACTGCTAGAGGATGATGAGGTAGCTGAAATAGGAAAAACAATATCAGGAATGAAATAAATTGTATATTCACATAAGTTACAAGGAGTTTTGTTTTTTCCTAATACCAGAACAGCAGAGGTAGCAACAATAAAAGTGGTAGTAGGAAAGATTAAGCATTGAAGATACGATTCAAGAAAATATAAACTAGTGAAATAAGACACAAAAACAGTTATGAGGAATTCAGGATTTGGGGGAAGACAAAGAATGGATGCACCTGCGGCATTGTAAACGATCTTGAACCATGTCATTCAAAGTCTCTAATCATTGAATAGTTCATAACAGTTTTAGTAAATCAAAATATTCACTCCTTAACGATATTTATGCCACAATAGTTTTTCACATAGAAAATTTACCTACTCATTTGCGGATTAATAAAAATTATTAACTCATTCAGAACGCTAAGAATGTATGCATTCTTTTTAGTTGTCGATTTCGGAATGCGATTTCAAACATGAGTATATCACAGGACATGCCAAAGGGTTGTTTGATCAGACGTTACAGCACAGAAAGTGTGAATCAATACAATTTGCAGTAAGACAGATGAATATTATCGTTGAAATACCAATACTACCTAGATAGTACATCCAAAGAGTTAAGAAAATCACAGGACACATCAAACAAACATAACATGGACATACCAACTGTCGTAGCTCATTCACAATATCCAGATAAGGAAGACCAGGTTTTACCATTATGAAGTCAGCTCCTTCGTTCGCATCGCGAATCTGGAATGCGCAAACGATAAAGATAAAATAAGGATATAAAAAACGTTAAGAGATTTCTCGCAGTAATTATAAAACGTATTTGGCGTAAAAATGTAATTCAACTACTTACGTTTCCCGATGTAGGACATAAATATTATCATTGAAACTGTGCTGCGTAACAAATTCGAAAAGAATATTTCATTACGTGAGTAAACTGATGGATTGGATGAACGGAGCTATGCTCTCACAATCGATTGATCACTGGGTGGTGATCAATGTCATGCGTGTCAAGTCCTTCTTAGTGCTGATCGAATGTTATCGATCAAGTTGCAATGTGGCCACCAGTCTAGGTGGCTCGACACTGCGTGCACTATATAGAGGTAAGATGGTGGTTGGAGGTGGTCAACAGGAAACCGTGAACCCGGGCTTCGTGCTACTTGGCACTCGTCAGCAAGGTGTATCTGTAATCTTGAAGGAACTGATGCTCCCTGGAGGATTCGATCCCGTGTCACTCAGCTTCACAGTCAGAGACGTTACCACTGAGCTTTTCGGACTGCATGACATTGATCACCACCCAGTGATCAATCAATTGTGATTACACCTCAGTCCTACAGGAGGTCGGTCGCGGCCCGAATACCTCAGTGGTAACGTCTCTGACTGTGAAGCTGAGTGACACGGGATCGAATCCTCCAGGGAGCATCAGTTCCCTCAAGATTACAGGAGCTATGCTCTGTTAAAATTAAATTCTCTGAAAATAAAAAAGCTGAAGCAGTGTAAGGTACCTATAATTTAATTAACCATAAGACTCGGTTATCGGTCATACTGTAATTCGTCCCAAGAGTATTAGATTTATTGCTTTGTTTGCTCAGTAGTTTATCTAAACATTTTATGACTAACTCTTCTGGGTGAATGTAGTATTGACTTGTGGTAATTGGTCCATGTGGTCAGTTATAATTACACAGTGAGTGAACAAAAATTTAATGTTAAAGCATATGATTTGATATATTTCTTTAATGTCACTAAATTGTCACAATTAGGGAGTTTTATTTACAAAGTTTGTGTAGGTTGAAGTAGAAATTGTACCCTGTCTAACTTAAGATAAAAAATGAAAACTGACTGGTTCAAATATGCTTGTTTTTATTTAATTTTGGCAATGAGAACCATATTACCTTTCCTAGTTCGATGATATGTTTACAGCGCCATTGTTAACATCCTGTTGTTGCGCTCTTTCGTAGTATGACAAGTTAAACCGATTCGCTACTCTGTTTGAGTCTACAATCAAGTCATATGATTAGCATGAAGATTAACAGATGGGCATTTGTGAATGTAGTTTGAAAGTTAGATATGGCATTACTTCTAGTAAGCTACAAAATATTAAGCTTTCATTTTATTGATGGATGTCAAGTAAAACAAACATTATATTGAAGTAAAATCAAGTCGAATTTTAAATTCGACACCAATTCATTTTAAAAAAATATGAAAATGATTGTCTATGAATTTAAATCCATTTGAAGTGACAGTTTGTTAGCTTGAAAAATGATCATCAAAGACTTACAGCAGCACGTAGAGCCAATCCTTTGGCACCAGGAGGGAGCTGGTAATGCCGACGGTCTCCAAAAGAAGGTGCAGATTGAGCAGCATCTCTAAAACATAAACGTATTAATTATACATCACTCTTTCTTAGTCATCAGTTCAGACACTTTTATGCACTAAAAATCAAAAGTTTGAAACCCACTTCACCAACTAGTCACTAAAATCAGATAACATTACAAGCCCTTGCACAATACGTATAGCTGGATTATTACAAAGACCGATAAGCAGTCACTGAGTTGAATTTTTCTTCTTTCACATGTCAACATGAGTGGTTCCAATAAAGTGGCCGTGACTAAAATAAAGCTCTTATCATTCAACGACTGAAGCATCAAAACATAAAGTTAGGCCAGTTGCAAAAAATTCTAACTAAAAATCTCGTCCTGATGTTTACAAGCTTTAGAGAAATACAAGACTAGAACAATTCCATACTACTGATTTATATTTCTGTTGTCAAATGAAAACTACATAATAGTTTGTTTTATTATAGCTAATAGTACAAAACACGTATGATGTTAATCAAAGTCACAAAACACAGAGACAACATCTGTCAGTAAAATCGACACCTTATCTAAGAATTTGCACTGTCCCACACAAATAAACGTTTTCTGAATACTCACACAGATTTTTAGGTTATCTTAAAAATTATTTTTACCTGAAAGGACCGTACAAACAAGATGCAAATTTGGCTGAATAAGACATAACGGCTACTTTCCCACTGAGACCGATACTCTCTATAGCCATTTTGATTTTTTTCACACGTCCATCCATCATGTCAGAAGGGGCAATAACATCAGCTCCTGTAAATAGAAAATAAGCGTACGCTTTTTAACGGATGAGCATCCACAACCCATTAAGACGTCAAAAACTAAATGACAAATCGATATTTGATAAGTATGAACAATCTAAATGAGCGTTTTTTTACAGAAGTCCCAGACAATGATGTTACACACAACGAAACTTTTGATGTTTTATAGAGACCATCTAATAAGGGAGCATATCAAATCAGTCGGACACTTCCAAAATCACTATATGGATTACATTTACAACAAATGGTTGTACCACAATCTGGATTATTGATACAGCTAGTTTCATTAATTCAAATAACAGATGCCTCAGTAACTAATTAATTACCAAGACGTTCTACTTACTATGAAGAGAGGTGGGAGAGTATGTTTTATGGGATTGATTGTAGGTGGGCCTAAATCCTGAACATTTTCTTCATAACGGGGAAATCAAAACTCACCGAATAGCTTTACCAAATCACTCAATGCTTCACTAGGGCTCGTAAAGAGTAAACCCAGGCTGTTTTCAGACCTGCACTGGGATGTATTGACGAAATATTCCCTCCTTCAGGTTTGAAAACGCAGACATACTTACTGACATTGACTATAGTAGTATATCTAGATATATAGAATGTTTTCGACTCTGTCGACCGAGATTCTGTGAAAAAATTTGTCGTTTAAAGACGTATCAAATAAGTAAATAAGACTTGTGAAGACTCTCCACTCGGACAATATTGCTAGAGTTAGAGGTTACAGCTATATGTAAACATCAAGTGGTATTCATCAGGGTTTCCACTATCTCAATTTTTATGTACGCTCATCACATGTCACTCTAGAAGTAACTATCTCTTCACCTAGATTTTCGTAGATTAGTACCCCAGAATGTTCATTTACAGACTCGGAACACGCAGATGATGTACTCTTTTCTGGTGAAGAGGCTGACAAAATTGAGTCTTACGACCGACTTGAGCAATGATACTAAGAGTAAAATGTTGCTTCAATACTAGTTTGTGTTAACATTTTAATTAATAATAGGGGGTGAAGTAGGTAAGTGTGTTGATTACTTCACTTATCTTGGAGGTCACATCAGTTCTAGTGGGTTGATGTCTAACCGAATCCTGACATGGGCTCAAAAAACCCAGATGGCGTCTTCCAACTTGCATCACTTGTGATGTAGGTGAGGTGTCCGCTTGTCAACCAAATGGAGTGGATACTGTGTAGTGAATAGAAAACTACAGTCGATACATTCAGCTGTTAGGATATGAGTTTCAGTCTACTTATCTGGGCTTTCATAACCCAGCAAGTAAACGACAATTACATTTAGTAAAAAGTACTTACCTTCTAGGGCAAATCGTTTAGATATTTCCGCTAAACGTTCAAGAGTTCTAGGTACGTCAAGGCAGCCGTCATCACGTAAAATACCTAAATTATGTTCAAAACCATATGTTACACAATACCACAATGACCACTGTCAGTGTATGCACACAAACAGACATCACAAATCACTATTAAATCCGGAAATTTTGACTTCAGCAACTTGATTGCCTGAATGACTGATGAATTTGGTGTATCACAAGCTGATCCTGTAGCATCTTTTTGGTCTTTACTGATTGTCCCAAACAACAATACAGATTTTAGTTGCTTGGCCACCAAAGGTGTTAAGAACTCGATGATTCGGTTGCATCCTATTCGACGTTGGTCTATTAGGCTAGTAATTATTTTATCACAATCTGGGTCTTGGCTGAATGAATGAGAAAACAATATAATATACCTGAGGAAAATTGGATACACAAGATTCTCGGCACTGACCTTATAGTTTGCAGTTTGCCACTGTCTGAACAACAAATTTGAGTATGATGAATGGAGGGGATGAGTAGAATGCATTGAAAAGTAAAACACTTTGGAGCTCTTGGTAGCTTTCAGTAGAAGTAACTTGGCTGTGTGATCTGCAAGATAAGAATAAAACTTAATTAATAAGCAATTAAAAAAACAACTGAAGTTATGAGCTTAATGAACCGACCATTTAGTAGAATAAAGGACTATTTTAATTTTACATATAAGCAATTAGAATGACTGTTTGTGAGGATCTGCCACGTACCATACTGCGAAATGTAGGTATTTAGAGGCTCTGTCTGTTAATCATAGACGACGAGACGTATATAACGAATGACTGAAGTATCTCAATCACTTAAGGTACACGATGTTGCCATGAAATTAGTTTACTTTTCAAGTGTATTTTAATTCCCGACACAAAATTGCCAGGTTATTATCCACATCTTACATACACTTTCTTAGGATGACATCAATTCTCAAGACGTGTGTAATGCGTAATATTTAAGTGCAATAGGTTTACACGTTGGTTATTACTTTAGCCCCATGACAACCTATCTTAAAAGTTATTACCAAAGTTATCGAGTCATTGTATGTAACATTTTTAAATCTTAACGCCATAAAATTAATTTATAGCACCAATCAAAACCTTTTACTAACGGTAAGGATAAAGAAAAAAACAGGTAGTAATCACCCTGGCAACTGAATAAGTAATTGTTTGTCTACAGGGAAGACGTGACACCAAAAGATATTACAGATAGCATCGATTAGGACGGTGGATGTTAGTTAAGAACATAAACCGTAGTGCATTACTTTGGTAAATCGTGATTACATAAAACATCTTTCAGATGACTTCCAGGTAGCCAAGTAATTGAAGGTAACATTTACTGAAAATCTCGGTTACAATGCACACATCTTGGTGACACGATTTTGCATCAAACTGAAAAGTCAGAAATAAATTTATAATTCTCTGCAATAGTGTTAGGGTAGTAAAACGAAAAATGAACAGGCAGATGAAGTGGAGGCTGGATGCATTTCAATTGTTTCCGGTCGTCAACATCTTGACTGGTAGCTTCTTATCAATAGCCAAGTACATATTATTTACATGCTTATAAATCAATTCTAAAAGAGGTATTTACACCATTCCATCTAACGGTGTTGTTAACAAGTAAGTTTCATTCATAATAAATTTTATGGGAATAGGTCGCACACTTGTCCCTTACCCACTAACTTTGAAAGCGATCTGTTGAATTATGTCAATAAAATGATTGCGTACACGATAACCACATCCACTGTTGTGTAGGAAAAGAATACTTGCAGGATTCTTTTTCGTTGGGATTTTCGTTAAAGAAACAGAACTCGACACTTTAGAAGCTGCATTGCAAGGACAAAAATGTCATGATCAGTTAGTGAGTTATGACAGTTGTTTATACAACTCAAAATGATGATCGTTGGAAGTATATGGAGGCGAACTTAGTTTATGAGTAGACGTCAACACTAGATTTTAATTACACCGTAAATAAAACTAAACGCATAATAGGTTTAAGTAATTACAGATTCTACAGAACAATTTGCCGCAGGTCAATATTATAGTAAACATTTTTGGATATGTTTTGAGTTTATGTTTTAAAAGTGCGAGGTACTTTGGAGAAGACATAAGCGATTAATTCTGCAACCCAGACTTTCTTGCACGATGCGAGGGATAAACTACATAATGCAGATGGTGATCGAAAGAAAATGTAAGCTTAGCTGGGTATATAGGTGAAAAGTAGACAATTTAACATTTGAAACGCAGCGCGACATAAATAGGAAATCCCACATTATTTCCCCAGGACAGGCGAAAAAGCAAAAATTTTGAGGCATTTCCGCATTATTTCCAACTTGATTTCCAATGCATCTCCCCCTATGGTTGGTTGTTTGGGTTCGACATGTTTGACGCTGACGGCTGCCAGATGTCTTATCTCGTTGTGTTCAACAACATCGGTCCAAAAAGAAAAAGCTGAACTAATGGGGTAATATAATATTGTGGCCTTAACAAATACTCACTTTAGTGTTACCTCGTGGTAAAAACGGCGTGAGCACGGTAAAAATGTCAGAGCTTTTCAAAGCCGCCTACCGTTTCGTTTTAACGACCTTGAACGGCCTGACATGAGGCAGTTACTCCATATTTGAGTTAAAAAGTTGTTGAGGGGATTCTGGGTGTCTGTTGAGTTGCACGAATATCAGGTTTTCTTACATGTAAGTTGCGTTGCATGCATAAGTTCATTCACTGTAACAGAATATTTGGATGAAAACTTGTAGTGGCATTGTTTTCTAACTACATGGTCTTCGAAGTCAGGCATATAATCATTGAAAAGATGTGTATTTGACATGTAACACATGGAGAAGGTCGGCAGTGGTGGACGTGGAGGCATTCATTCAATTGGATGACATGGCTCAGTCTTGCAATCGGACTCATTATATGTAACGTATTACTATTCATATTAAATATATTATTCTATCCCCAGCATAAATGTGTTCTTCAGAAGTACTAAGTATCATTGTTAACTGTCATGGTACTGTAGCTGTAAACAATTCCCCAAAATCAATAGCTTTTCAAGTGTTTGACATTGGATGCTGACCACATTAGTTTAACTGGATTTGTTTAGCTGAAGGCGTTCGGTCATGCATCCGCACCAGATCACGTTACAGCACAGCGTGGAAAACATCTACGATCATTAGCCAGATTAGGTCAATCGCTTCTCGATATATTGATAACGCATCAAATATATCTTCCAACCTTTCCGCTTCTTACTTTTGATTTTAACTGGTTGGGTACGATTTGATTATAGGTGTTACTGGTAATAGTTGTCAAACTACAATACTGGTGGCATCTTCAGTGGTGAGACCAACGTGATCTGGTACACCAAACGATAAACTGTGAGCCTGTTCCTTTTCAGAACTTTATTAATGATTGTTTTGCTTTATTTGACTTTGAAATATTGTGATACTTTTTTTTGAGTTTACGGATATATTTTAATTAATTATTTTTCGTTCATTTTAATACTTGATTTTTCACTATGACGGACAGACACCAAAAATATTTGGGTTAAAGACTTTTCCTCCACCCTCGATTCAGTTAACGCCTTGTTGGCCGGAAAATATCGAAGTCTGGTTCTACCATGTAGAAGCCGCTTTTGCGGGCACAGCATTACGGACTCACGCACACAGTCCCTCGCGGTTGTTAAGGCACTACCGCGCGAATTTAACAGATGCGTCACATCTATTATGTTTGCTGGTAATGTTTCGGAACCTTAGGAAACCCTCAAACGATCGATTCTGAGACCTGGAGATCTAACCCATCGACAAAGGTTAGACCAACTCCTCAATAACATCGAGCTGCAACATGGTTCTGCAACAGACATGTTGCTTAGGATGAGAGGAGTGATAGGTCAAAGAACCTACGACGAAGGCCTATTTAAACAACTTTTCTTATACAAACTCACAAAACAGGTGCAGGCAGTTCTCGTCTCGTTCCACAACAACGCTGTGGACGAACTTGCTGCATCTGCTGGTCGCATCTTAGAAATAACGAAGTCTACTAACGCTGAGGTCTTTTCAGTCAAAGAAAAACCTCAAACGATCCCGGATGACATCTCTGAATTATGTCATACACTCACACGCTACTTTCGATCGTACTTTTGATCGTAGTCGGTCAAGAACCGCGCGAAGAAGCCTTCCACGTCGGTGATCTCTCTCTAGACCACGAGAGACAGATAACCCTAACTGGTAATGGTATCATAAACAGTATGGCAAGTCTTCTAGAAATTGCTGGAAACCCTGCGATTACCTGAACTCCAAGTCGAATGACACGAATAAAAACTCGGGAAACTTCCCAGCTGGCACGCTTTAACGGCAACCGTAGCCGGCGAACATAGCTGTCTGTCGTACGTCACACATGTGACCAAGAAAGTTCGCTACCTCGTCGGCACCGGCGCAGAAGTTAGCGTTCTCCCCGCTAGTTCTAACGACCGGCTACAAGAGTCTGTTTTAAGCTCACAGCAAACGGAAAACCGATTAACACGTATGGTAAAAGGTATATCTACCTAAACGTAGGTTTACGCAAACCCATCCACTGGATCTTCGCTGTCGCAGATGTTTCTATGCCAATCATTGGTATCGACCTGCTACAATACTACAATCTACTCATCGACACACGCTCACGAAGGTTAATAGACGGTAACACTAAGCTATCTGTTTGCATAACTCTTTTTCTGGTTGCAGATTATCCCCAGTCACAATTAAGCACACTATAGGCCCCTTATATAAACCATTACTCGATAAATACTCCGGGATATATCAACCACAACCGAAATTCCCGTGTGTCAATAATCATACATACTAACAAGATTTATAATGCGAAAAAACGACAGTTGTTATATTTAGATAATCTATTAGATGAATAGACGTGGCTGTACTCAATATAAAACACAATCATCATCAACTTGTAAACTGTTTCTCCACATAATCTCATATATTCGGTAATTCTCCAAGTTGTCCACCGGCATAGACTTGATTATTAGAAAGATTTAAGCCTTCCATTTAGTTGACAAAAGCCATAGATTGCATACTAGAAAACTTATGAGAACCTTCTCAGCCTCATGCAATCCTGAAAAATAACAAATCAATCGTAAAACAAACAAATACATGGTTGACTCTATCAAAAGCTTTTGAAAAACCAAGGTAAGTGATGTCAATCTTCCCCTTGCGACCAAGGATGCTTGTCCATCTGTCCACCACAGTTAGCAGGTTGGTTATACAAGAGTGCCCCCTCCTGAAACCATGCTATTGATGGTGAGAAGAACTTTAAGGATATTAAGTAGTTGCGTATACCGTCCCATATCTGGGACTCCGTGGTTTGAGAAGGCATAGAGAGAAGGGCCAACCATCGGTAGCTTGAGGGTTCGCTACCCCGACCTCTTTTGAAAATTGAGGTGATGTGATCCAGCTTCCAGATTTCCGGTAGTTTGCCTCGACTTAGCGCGTCTGAAAACATCGCGCTAAAATAACACAAGTTCCGTGCAAATTATAAATCTTCGGACCTCACTAGATCTGAAATTTACTTAATTAAATACCATGAATTTAACTGAAGCTGAAACCCGAACATATACAACCGCGCGTTAAATATCAAGCGGTCGCTTTACAGGATGAGAACTTTTAGTGTTGATGCAGGTTCTTGTAGCTAGAGGCAGTAAAAATAGAATCATATTCACTTGAGATTCTATATCACCGAGTGGATGCCCTGTTAACGAATGGCGTGTTGAGACCGCCAATCAGAGATAAGCGAATTATCGATCGGACCAATGACACACGGAAACCGTAGAAGCAGTCTAGAGTACTTGTCGGTGCTGCTTTCTGCTTACTTTAGTCCAGAACAGCCTCTGCGGTATGAATCGTTGTATTTCAAACATACAGAGTTTATGCACCAATCAAACAAACCACATCGTACCATAAAATAAGAAACAACATTTGTACAAGATTCAGCTGAATGTGGCTGTGAATAGGGTAGATAGTAAGTGATAGACAGGGAATAATTCAGGAATAATAAATCTTATAACAATAGTTTATAGTTCAAAATAAACCTCATAATAAGCGTGACATGAATATGAACAGTTCAGTTAACTAACAATTATATAACAAGAATATGCACAAAGTATTGGCCTATAAATAGATCCCAAAGTTACCATTCGTTATCCTTATCATGACATAACAGACGTGACCTTGCCGATCAGTGACCGCCAACTGGAAATATCCCGTATTATACCACCATCTTGGAGCATTCAAACACTTCCGAGGATATGAACTGCTTCTTCACTCCACTAGTAGGCAATCCAGGTAACAAATCGGGCAACCATAATCATATATCAGTTAAAATACTGTGCTGTAGGTATAGCTGTCTCAATCAAGTGCCCTCTCTCTAGTTGCTTCAACATACACACTTTTTTTGTGTGAAAATAGTACTTGTGAATAAGTTACTGGATGAACGCAAAGTTTCTTGCCAGAAAGGTCAAACGTAACTTTGTAGGTTTTATTCTGTTTTAGCATATATTAACTGATTTCTATTACTTTTTCTTTCCAAACCTTTCGTCTCACATATCTCATTCTTAGATCGTCTCAAATTTTGGTTTTTAGTCTTTTGAGCTGCATACACAACAATGGCTTTGCCACCAGTAATAACACCATAACTACAAGGACGACTAGCAGAGGTAAAGGTCGGAATTCGGAGGTTTAAAAAAAGTTGACAGTCTCCAGTCTTACCAAGAGGATTATAAGAAAGCTTAAGACTACATCAGATGAAGAACCTCAGATTGACGATTATAACGTAGATTGCTTGACTCAAACGCCTAAATTGAATGTCTAACTCAGTAATTTGGAACAGACTGCTATCCATGTCCTTACTTCTAGTAAGACTAGTAGGCAAAAATGGAACAGGAAGAAAGGGTGTCTCAAAGTTTGCGCGGTGCTCACTACTGGGGAGAAGCAGAACAAAAACGATATCTGTATCCCATGTTCGCCACTAGTTAAAACTGGGGATTTATAATTCCATTGAAATTTTATAGTGGCTGGGCCCACTGTTGCTGTGATATTGCAGTGCCTAGGAGGCGCTACGAGCTTTATGTGAAGTCAGCTCATTCCGTGGTTCTGGTATGTTTCCCTACAGTGTAGAAAATTTGCATGAAGGGAGCTAATAAAAAAGAAGCATACGAACTCACTGGAAGCAACCATATCGATCGCCACCAGCATGTCCGAATCGTCAAATAGGCTTAACCAAACACGTGACCATAAAAGCCAAATCCTGAGCCCATAAGTCAATGATATTGTTGAATGTTGCAAATACCTTAGTATCTATCAACAATAAGGAGCAGTGGATAAGCGTTAGAAAGGGAAATGGTAAAACGCAGCTCCTATCCTCGACTGGAAGTTTGTTAATTCCGTGTTGCAGTGGGTTATAGCAGCTCACATACAATTGAGTTTGTTCACATCTAATGTGGTTAAGCCCTTTTGTTAACTTGTTTAACGGACAGAGTCATTCGTACAATAACAATCTATCTATATTGTTTGTACCTTTATTATGTACGCTTGAGCATTGCTTACTGCCTACTCATATATTAATTTTACTAGCCTTACTATTATTCGCTTAATTGATTTGATGATTCATTCATTTCCATTTGTGTATATATGTACATCTTAATCCTGTTCATTGACTCACTGAATTTCTGAGTCGCTTAATTGTTGAATCGCTGACTCAACCACTCGCTCGCTCATTTAACTCACACCCTCAATCGCTTGTTTCACGGCGCTACTCTTTTATGCTTTCCTAACGTGCCTGTAACTCTGGATATCCGTGTGTGGTCCAATAATAAACACAATCAACACTTCTTATTCGCATTCTGATTCCGTTGGGGCGTTATCGAGTAACGGTTATCAGGACGAACAATATACGAAGTTAGAGGATAATCTCGAATATCGACCACAACAAGGTTATTGATTATTGCTTCAGACCTGTGGGTCTGAAATATCTTGGTTTATAGCAACTATCCTAACCCCAATTTAGATTATGGTTAGTTTTGATTATGCTCTTTTACTAACTTACTTAACAGACACTGTCATTTAGGCAGTAACAATGCGCATATATCTTCGTACTGTTATGATCACTACAGCACATGATAGGCTCTAGCCGAAACGTTGATTGTTTAAATATCATTCGATGACTCATCCACCTCCCCATATATGCATGCACTTAAATCCTATTAATAACTTTTGTTTTGCCTTGCTGTGCCCTTATATAGTTTGACTATGAATTTGCCTACGTGATTACTTGCGCTTGCTCGCTGATACTTACTCAAGTGATTATAGCTTTGTGGCCTCCGTTATTTGATAATGAACTGTAGTTTCAGCTTCTCTTTGCCTTCTGATTTCATGTACCGTTAAGATTTGTATTATAACGGATATCGAGATGAAAGATTAGAGAAGCATTGCACCACAGGCTAAACAAATCTATAAATTCTCGTACCTTTTGAATAGTGTTGCAGTAGCTCTTTAAGTTTCAGCCCAATTACAGTAGAATTTTTGTAACGTTGATATTGAAAATTCTGACTTTAGTGTTGGCCAACAGTTCAATAATTGAAATGCTTTCTTCACTTTTTAATTTGCCTCCATGTCTTTATAAAATCCTCCTTGTTTACTAATGATACTGCTCCTACCTCTTTCAGAGACTCATCACCAGATGATTCGGTTGCTACTCGTTATGTTTTGTTTGTGGATCTTGGTTTATCCTTTGTAAATATTTAGTCTTAATGCTGCTAAAGCCGTTGAAAAGCTGGTTGTATTTGTCTGTATCTGTTGCCGTGTATTCTATGGCAATTTATTTGCTATCTGTAAAGTTCATTTCTTCCAAACTCATTCACTAGGTTCCGTGCTTCCTCTAAAGTGTGGAAATCTTTTTTATAGAGTCGACAACCAGTAGAAAGAGCGAGGACGAGAGAAGATGGTTTTGTCCAACACCAATGTCCACTTAAAACAGGTCTGAGAGCTGCCCTTTATGTATGGCTTTGCGACTCAGACTCTTGTACGAGTTCCGTATGATGGAGACAATCTTCTCAGGTACTCCATACAGTAGAGGATTCTTCAATGTTTTCCTATCCTCAGTGTTAGATGCTTTCTCATAATAAGGAAAGTTGATGTATGATGATTCCCATCCAATTGGTCGCTTAGCAAAGATCCATAGTGTGGGAGTTGGTCGATACAAAATCGATCCTTACAAAATCCACTCTGGTGTCGAGTGTTTGCGTCTACTGAATTATTCTGTCTTCTCACTAGCACTTCCATGAGAACCTTAGGTGCATTGAAAGTAGTAAGATATCTCAATGGTTCCCATACTTACTACGATTTTCTTCGTTATCCATCTGGCTGGCAAAAAACTACTAACCTCCTAATTTACAAAGGATCTCGGGTATCACCATGAGATGTTATAACTCACCTGCAAGAAGTCCTGTGTCGATTGAGTAATAATACTAAGTTGAAAGATTTTAACAACGTTAAACACCTGATGGACAATGGTAAATGATGAAGACTGACCTTCTAAGATAGAAGCCACGTAGACAGCCTTTGTTATTCCCCAGATAAACACTGTATATCTGGTGATTTCATGTTTAGTAAATGGGTTCAAAGTATATGGAACATGAAAAGTTTACTTGCACTTTTACTAGTTCGTGATTGTTCTGAACTTTGAAATTTAATTATGAAACGGTCAATACGGTCTTTTAGCTCTTCCGGATTACTCGAGTGTATTAAAATATCTCTCTGTAAAACCCGTATGTTTATCAGTTACTAGTAACTACGTAATTTCAAATATCTTCAACACTGCACTAAAAAGGGTTACCAAAGCTAATATTAAGAATGAATTCTAACCGCTTGAAATTTCTTTAGTAATAAGTAATGCACAATGTCTATGTAAAAGAAAACTACAGTGATTGGAATGTATTGAAACAAAAATTTTGTTGGCCTCCGCTATACTATTATATTATCTGGTTGAGAAATTGTTAAAAGGCCATCGAACAAACTCTTTATCATTATAAAATTATTTCAAATTGTAGACAATAAGTAAACAATCCTGTATATACATATAATATCTTTCTAGTCCTAACGAGAACTCTTATTACCACTCTGAAACATTCTGTGACACAATCACAAATACTTAACGTTAGCATTCAATATGTAGCTTATAAACCAAAGAAATTCAGCATTTACTGCATCTCAATCGGTATCATGATGATCCTAATAATGCTTTACTCTAAAGTAAAACTACATATGGGGATTAGTGACATCTGATTTCATATGAATTATTCAGCAATACCCATACACTATATAGTTTATACATGCGGAATGTTACCTACTGTTTTGTTTCTGCGGGATTATGAAGTAAAAAACATCAGAAAGATAGAAAAATATCACAAATAAAATCAACAATTATTTTAGTTTAATTCATTCATTGTTCTCACAATTATTACATGTGATAGATAAAAAGTTTATTTGAATAAACTTAAAAGGTAATTAACATGTGATCATTAGGCTTTAAAAGTTCAAAATAGGGAATTGTATACACAATACAGTGAATAAAATAACTTTTGGAGTTCACTATAATACAAACATATGATACATTATTTTTCATAATGACAATTTTCAGATCAAAATTTTATTTCGATGTACATGCTTTACGATAAAGTTCTCGAAATGTTTTCAGATCATTAAATAGTTCATCAGCAGTATATTTTGCTTGATCTAAAGCAAGATAATTAGCAACCTGTTTGTCAATAGAAATATTAAAAAAAGGATGTAAATATATAGAAATAACGTAAGAATATAGTTAACATGGAAAAGTTTCACTAAATTAGCAAATCTTGCAAAAATAGAATAGAGTTGAGATCATGAGTCAATTGAAGCTAGATCACCGTGGAAAATCTGGAAGCACTGGACGGCCGTTTCGTCCTATTATTGGATACCTAAGCAGTTCGCATCCACGATCCCGCCTCGCGAGATTCGAATCCAGGGCCTACTAGTCTTGCGCCAGAGCACTTAACCGCTAGACCACTGAGTCTAGCTTCAACTGACTCGTGATCTCAACTCTATAAAATCTCCACAAAACCACTTCTAATAAAAATTAGAACACACTATAAGTAAGGTTATGGAACCCAGAGTATGCTAACACATGGTAGAATTGTACTTTTATTTAGAAATTACTGGTGAACACCAGTGCATTTCAAACCTTATAAAACAGTATCTACTAAGTATTACATGAAAACTATGAGATTTTGATAGTATTTCGTAATAAGACCATAAAATAAAGTCTTTATGTTTATCATTAACATCGTATTTACACAATTCATCGGTAAACAGATCACAATATAATAATTGACTCATGAGTTCAATTATTAAATAATATAGAGTGCTTATGTAAACATACTACTTATAAATAAGAACAAAAGTCTGGTGAACAGTAAATTATTCGTTTTTTGCTCTAAGAATGTTATACAAAAAAATGTGCTCTCAAAATATAATGCATAAAATGAGAAAGAAGCAGTACGTTAATGTAAAAACAATATAACTGGAAGTGATCTGAAATACAACAGTTTCATTTAATCCGAATTATTAAAACAAACAAATTACTACTGTTGTCACTATTTGCTCATGGCTTGTTTTTGCTTTGTCAACCTGAAGAAAATATTATACAATTACCTCACTTAGTAAAAACGACTAAAAGAGCGAAGAAATTTTTTTGGATTAGTTTTTCATCATGGCTTTACACTAATATTTATATATACGATCTACAACAATGAAATAATACTCAAGGAGTAGCTGCATTACCTCAATTCATTGAATACAAGAAAATGGTTTTCTTTAATCAATCTGTTCTTAGATAAATAAGCTACCTAGAATAATAAGATTCATTATTTTTATGTTTTGTTCTGAATCTACACATAATGATGAAGTCATCTGAACGTTAAATGACCTGGTAGTTCAATAATGTTACTACTACTGCTGTAGTGAACAAGAACACAAGTTAGAACAATTGAATGTTTTAGAGCATAAAATTACAGACTATCTCACTAAATTCTGATAGCTATATAGCAAACGGTTAATTTGCAAAACAACAATCAATTGTCTCAATCTTAACTATTACTCCTGCAAATATCAATCCGTCTTCCCTGATTTCACTGTTCATGCATTTTCGTACCGATTGCGCTTCATTCCTGTTCTTTCCTTATCGAGCTTCTGCCGAAATACATTCTATGTCTGACCATCGCCATATACTACTTATGTGGATATAAACAAACCACACCACAACGTCTCTGACTTTGAAACTGGGAGACACAGGATCGAATACTCTAGGGAGCATTATTCCTCTCAAGATTACAGGTATACCTTGCTGATAAATGTCAAATAGCCCGAAACCTAGTTTCACGGTTTCCTGTCGACTACCACAAACCACCAACTTGATATAAACTAAGCTGGAAACCAGAACCACATCTTTTACGAAAGTGGATTTCTGAATTCATTTACATTTAGTATTTCCGACATCTTTGCCGTAACACATTCTGTTCAAAGATGTCAAATATAAAACTCTAAACTGTTAAAAATGTTAGAAATGGGTCTCCCCACAGAATTTTTATTTCATTCTTAATATTTTTGTGAACATCTTTATATTAAGGCTTGAATATTCTCTTTTCATCCTCTCGAGAATTCCGGACTACATGTTCTCACTTTTTAAATAATAATTTAAAATATATACACTTTCTTTAGTATGCTATTTAAAACCATAGAGTGAATTGATGGTATGTAGTAAGTTTTATTTGTAAACGACAGACGTATACATATTTCTTCACTAATTTATGATTTATCAAAGTGAGAATGCACAAAATCCGTTTAAATGATAAAGAGTTACAGTTATTCAGTTCGCTAATACGTTTCAACACAATTTCGAAGTTATGCTCAAATGTAACACATCTTATAAACATAGTGTTATCAAGTCAGAAGCACACGTAGATAAATGACTAATAGACTGAACAAAGTATTCCGTGTTCAAACAGTTTTGTATGAAACCAAAACTACAAATAATTTAAACGGGTTGTTTTTTTATATTAAAACATCCTAATAGTTTAAACAGTGATGAATTAATATATGAATGAAATGTAAACACAATCGCTAGCGAATTGATTAAAGCATTTTTATTAAGCATAATTTTCAGGGTAAAATAGTCGAAATGTGAATCGTAAAAATACATACCTCGTTATATCTTTCGGTAAATGTTTTGTGTAATTCACTCAGTAACTTTAATTCTTGCATTGCATGAGCTAAAAATTGTCCCACCACTAAACCAAAAGATAAATTTGCTTTAAAAGCATATGACTTGGGATCTGAATTAGATTTGATAACCCATTCCGCGTTGTTTGAATTTGCGACTCCACCAACTCCTCTTAAATCTATTTCTAAACGAGCAACGTCACGTTTCGTTTCGACTAGCTTCTCTTCAATTGTTTTTGCACAGTATAAACTTTGTGCAGCATCTAACGTAGGCATTTCATTGAACCATGAATGAGCTTCCTTAGTAAAACTAAAAGATATCAAAGAAAATTGAATATTTATATATCTAAGTGACTTACAGTCATTTAGAAATCCTATAAAAATATATCTACTATATCCGTCGCTATATAAAAAAATTTTTCTATAAACATTACTGCCAAGTTACTTTCAATAAATATGAAGTACGATTAGACGAAGTAAGAACTTCTAACTTAGTACTATTTCACTCTTCAAATATTCATCGGACCAATAACATATCAATAATTAGGTGTCTTTATAAATTAATAAAACTCGGTTCACACTAGTAGACAATCATGAAATCGACTGATCACTGAGTAGTAACCGATATGAATATCTTAGTTCTTCAAGATTAGAGATCCGCCTTACCAATTAACACGAAATATAGGTCTAGTTTTCCTTCCTGACTACCTTCAATTACCTAACATTGAAAAATATTGAGAAACTGGAGGTATTGGACAGTTGTTCCATTCTAACAAAAGATTCGCCAGCACAATTTGTACTGAAGTTTTATCGTTTTTTAATCGATACTAATCCATTACTGAAAAGTTGAAAAAAAAAGTTTCAAGTATATCAGCTTGAAATCAATTAGTCGCACCTATATTACTCAATCCATGTAAACTTAAGCCTTAACTATTAAAGTCTACGATTATAACCATATATGATCATAATGATGACGGACAGAACTTTCCTACTTATTCATGATATATATATATATATATATTCGGATTTAAAAAAACAAAATTTTTTAGAGTGCTTAAGTTGTAAACTAGAATGCAATTTTCAAAATAGTGTTTGTCAGTATATTCCTTACTTGAGTTCCATTAGTTCTACTAAATAATGTATTAAATTCCTTTGGTTAGTTATATCACGAGTATCAGCCAGTCGGACTAAATTTCTAACTTCAAAGCCGAGAAAAGGTTTACGTTTTACGAATCCTTGTGAAGCTGTTAGGCCTGAGTGATCAGATGGTAACTGACTAGATTCATAAACTGAGCATTGTCTAGTGGCATTTAAAGCATTAACCAAAGCTAGCGCACATGAAAGGACATGACAGAGGGAATTAGAATGTCTTATCTCGGAAAGACATTTACATGCAGATGAAAGTGCTTGCTTTAATTGATCAACAGTTGTATCAAATTGGATAAGCATTCGTAAAGCATGGAGATGAGCAGGTAGCCGATGGCGAAGTTGAGAAATCATGTAAAGTAGTTTCTCCGCTTCAATGAGATTCTACAAAAGGAAAAAAGCATATTTAAATGTTCGATTGGTTATCAGTTGTATAACACATTATTAAACTACATCATACAGTATCTCAGAATGGATTGTCAGAGAAAGTTAAATCTACCCACTAAATACAAATAAATACAGCTTTCTGATCATTTTATTATGATTTTCTATGTAATGTAAAAACATTGATCTCTTACCGAGGTTTCCAATTGACTTTCAGACAATTTCAGTATTATGTCCATCGGAGGTATAAAGTTGATAAGGGTATCTAACAAAGTGTCAGGTATCGGCTGAAACAAGGTTGTACTAGTCAAGAAACTCGATTTATCTTCACTTTTATGTTTCGTATATTCATTTGGAAAGGATTTACTGCGACGAAGGTTAACTGTTGTCTTTAGCTCAATAATAGATCGAGCGACATCTTCTGGATTTAAATGAGCTGATGCCATAGCTATGGCTATCGACTGAGCTGCTTTCACTGGTAATAGATCCAATGTTTGAGTACGAGAAGCAAGACTCTGAGATCCGAAACGCATTGATCTCCTTATCGACATATTTGCACTCGAATGTACTGATAATTGAGGGTCTTGATTAGTTTTTGAACCTGGTGTGTTGAATAAAGATGTTACAGTATTCCCACAGTCTATTTCCAATTTATCTGATGACTGAAAATAGTCAGAGAAAACAGAAGCAAAATCAAAATAGTCTAGAGCTTTCAAAGAATGTCTGGAAAAATATCCAGTGGATATCAATTTATTAAATATTTACAAGATTTAATTTAATCAAGTGCTCATTTAACTATCTAACGAGCACACCACACATTCCTATATTTGTAGATACATTATAAACGAAGTTTAATTCAAAGTATATTTACGTGCTCGTTTGGTAAACTATTTAGGCAATCGAATATCAAGAAATAGTCCCATAATAGTCACATAATAGGACGAAACGTCCGTCCAGTGCTTCCAGGTTTTCCATGGTGGTCTAGCTTCAATTGACTCATGATCTCAACTCTATAAATAGTAATAAGTTAAAGAAAAACAACTGTTCTATTCGAGAGAAAACTTAGAAAAATGGCTTTTGCATACTGAGTATTTAAGTGAGTCAAACATGTATCCGCTGAACCACGAACATTTTATCACCTCAAGATGCTCAACTTTTGTGGATGATTATTACTGACAGCAGGCCTTGAAAAGTTAGTTTAGTCAACTTCATTTTGCTAACAAATAATGTTAATTACAATGGCATTTCAAGCACCTATCCTTTAATGCTAAACTTAATAACACTTTTTTTCATCTCTGAATTAAAACAAATAAAAAGTTAATAATTATGGTTGGCTGTTATTAAATCATCTGGAAATTTAGATTCCTGAAAGTCCATAACATTACAATCCAGCAATTTGATTCTGTTGTACTTGTGACTGGTCGATTGAATTACTTATATTTTAGCGTTGACAGCTTCACTAAAACTGAAATTCCACACATATTGTTTCAGATGTTAGATCCTTATAGGGTTAACGGAAATTACATGTAGCAAACAAACCATCACATAAATGAATTAGTCTTAGGTTCATATAACCAATTGAAAAGCTCATCAAACAACATTATTTACACTGTACTTTCAAAGTTTTCTGTCAAAATGGTTTAGCAAAGAAAAAAATTAAAAAAGAATGCAAATTAATCGTAACACTAACCATTGCTTTATTTCCTTTGATCCGAAATCTTTTATGAAGTTGACGGACGAATTCTTCACTCAGTAAATCACTGTCATCAATATATACCCATACAGAATTTTCTTTCAAACGAGATTTGCTCAACTATTGAAAAGTAATTAATTTTTTACATTGTTAGTTTTTGAAAAAAAGTCACAAAGATTATAATGAAATTATATTGTTCAGTTTGACAATGATATATTATCAGAGCGAAGAATTCATCACTCGGAATGATAGAAATCATTCACCTTTGGTTTGGTACTGGTTTACTATAAACGTGTACTACCCAATCAAGTGTGTTTAAGTTGATGTTATGAATTAATATGAAGCTTAATGTATTCAAAAGTTGGATGAGATTCTTTAGAAAGTAGTAAAATATTATTATTTATATCAATAGAATATATACTTCTATAAATATAAAGCCTGGTTCAAAAAGACCTCAAAAATATAAACTTTGATGTATCATAATAAATTAGTGCTAAGTAGTCCGTTTGTTATTTGACTTTTCATGGAGATATGAGTGTTATGAGAGTCACAAAACAAGCACAGGTTTATGCACCAGACTTGAAACATACCTACTGAACAAAAACAAGAGATTTTATGCAGCTATAGAAACCAAAATTGTAATATGGAGTTTCAGCTGGTGATCGGAAGGTTGAAATGGCTTTTTAAAGCGCAGATACAATCCTTCATTCATCCAAATCTGAACTAATGAAACACATTAATGAATAAGGTCAGATTATCTAGCCTTTATTCATTTAGTTCATCGGTTTCTTCAGTCTATGTAAAAATGGTTTATAAAATTGAACGATATTTTGGTATTAAATTACTTCTTACACTGCAGGAATTCGGGAAATAAGTTTACAAAAAACTTTAGACTTACCGGAGATACACAGACTTTCTTCAGCCTATAAGGGGCAGAAAACGTTCTTTTCGGCTTCATATTGTACGGCATCGGCGATTCTGAGAAATAAAATGAAAATTGTCGTTAACATAATGCCATAAACTGTTAAAATTATATATGAATCATAGTGGCCAAATTATTTATGGTTTCTTAATCTCACACGGTGAATAAATCAATCACCATTTAAATTGGAAAGAAATCGAAGCAATATTTACGTCAATTATTGCAAGAAGGACCAAACATAAAGAATATGATTTCATTAGTAGGAAACAACTTTAATCGTCAACGTAAAGTCGATGGAATTTTTATGGTGTGTAATTTAATTTAATAATAATTAGAGAAATTGAAAAAGGAAGTATATTGAGAGAAAGTGACATGAAAATATCTTTCTGAAGACCCAGATACGTGAGGTGGTGAAGGTTTATATCTCAGGTGAATGATTTAGTTGTAGTTTCGTTCTCTGATCGGGATGGTTTGGTTGTGAACCTTCCATTGTTCTTCTAAACAACATCATTAGCACAAACTTCAATAGAATTGAAGTGTATGAATATCCTCACATATGTCTCATAGCTTGCCCTATAGACCTCAATCTTGATTGGTTATTTTTAGTTTTTAACCTGTCATTGCCTACTTCTTTATTTTGATTGTATCTCTCATTGATTTGATTCTTGGTCTTATATTTGTCCGTGATTTTTTTTATTGGTTGAAAAATTGGATCAACTTTAATGTGTTTGTTGATTGCTGATTGAACTGAGTGTCAGGCTTTTAAAAATTCTTTGATGTTTTTAGGATTCCCTCCATCCCAGATCTTGATGCTCATGCAGGAGAAGATGAAGGAGAGGTCCACTTTGTCCGATGTAGTGTTTTTCGCAGTTAGAACAACTTATTTTGTGGATGATGTTTGGATTTTTTTCTTTTGTCATTTCGTCCTTTGGTTTGCAGTGATTTGAAGTGATTTTGATGGTTTATGTGCTACACCTGTTTCAAAAAGGTTCAATAATCTGACAGTAGTTTCTGATGTCTTTTATATATGGTAGGATGATACGTTTGTTGATTTCTGTACTTTATTTTATTCCTTCCGATGCGTTTGGCTGATATTTTTTGATGGACTTGATTGGGTAGCCATTCTTCTGGAAGATAGTCTTTAAATAATTTTCTTCATTTTCCTGCTCCGCAAGTGTGTCACACTGTGTCCTTGCCCTGTTGAATAACATTTGTACGCAGTTAATTTTGTAATCTATTGAGTTTTTGCTACTGTAGTTTGTTATTTGATCTATGAGGTCTGGACACCGACACACTTGAGTCTTCAGTTTTTCTGTGTTTGTACTGGTTATTAGTACATCCAAGGATGGCTACCCAACGAAGGTTGAGGTCTATAGGACAAGCTATGAGACATATGTGAGGATATTCATGCACTTCAATTCTACCTGAAATTTGTGCTAATGATGTTTATTAGAAGAACAATGGAAGGTCTACGGCCAAACCATCCTGATCAGAGAACGAAACTTCACCTTAACCCAGCAATTTCAAATTGGATAAAAGGCTGAACAATAATAATATTTCTACGCATGTTACCATTGTTTAATCGACAGATATGAAATCAGTACATGGATAATGTTCACCATATATTCCTTTCGCTGAAAAAACTTACCTGAACCGTGTGATATTCTAAAGAAACCATGCTTGCATTTGTATTTTAACAAGAAAATATCATTAAAGATACTAGACTTAAGCAAAGTATATTCGGGATTCAAATATTACATAATTGATTACATCACAACCCATTGTGATTGTATTCATACAAATACATTGCTGTGTAATCATAATATGTAATTAATGATGATTTAATTTGTACCAAAATATTGTAGATTCAAACGAAATCCAAGTATCTGGTGAATGTAGGTGACGAATATTTATTGAAACAAGTCAACAAAGTTGAATAAAAACATTCTTTTTATGAATGACCCGGAGTGTGCAATCTGATGTATATTTTTTCATAATATTATTGTTTTACTTATACTTGACTTGGGCTGACCTTTTTATTTCTCATATTAATATCTTAACAGGTTAATGTATGATTAGATTACTACTCAAAATGTATTACAACATTATGTCATATGGTTCAGGCAAACATTTCACTCCTATTACGTCATCAAGCAGAATCACAATATGAATAAATGAGTTAAACTGAATACCTATTTTGAACCGACCAAAACTGTGAGTAAATGAAAAAAAGTCAAGACAGTTAACCTATGTAAATAAATTTCTAAAGAAACATAAATTAAACGTTGTAAACATTTAGTATATTGCTGTTAGTGAGAGGATTTCTAAATTTAGGTCAAGGACGTTTAACAATACCTAAAGGAATAAAAGGGCCAACCTTAAAAACACTTCAAAAATGAAGTACCTATACATGGTACAATTCAAAACATCTAATTCTATAAGATTGAAAAAACCTTAAACGAATCTTTTCAAAAATAAATAGCCAATACTTTAAGATCTAAGAACATTTAGATGACAAACCATACTACACTTGTAACTTAATTATGATGCCTTTCGAAGGATAAATCAATATAAAATTAAACCAGTTCAAAATCATTCACTTTCCAAAAAAAGTTAATCTCTTCTCATATATTTGTCACTTTTGTAAAATTCTGTTAACCATACGAACTATGGTAACATATAGTCATACTTTTCTGATGGTTGAATATAATACACTTTGAAACACAAAGTAGGTGTGAGTTGATTTTAAGTCGAGTCATGTTTATAATTATTTTGCTGCAAAACAAACATGCGATTACAAATTGATATCCAAGGATCTAAACTTAAAACCGCAGATATATACAATTATGAAAAGACTATAAATTGAAAGGTTGATTAATTTCAAAAGATTGGTATATCACTACCACTACTACTACTGTTATTACAAAAGTAGACAGTGCTAAACTTAGATGAATATTTCATATTTATCCATAGAAATTTAAAATACAAAATACTCATTTGTTTACTGAAGAAGTGAAAGTTTGTCACAAGTTCGATTTAAGTATTTTAGGCAGATATACTCTGAGAAAAATGTGCCAACACATTATACTAAACAATGTCATCTCATAAAAACCTGCAGAACAAAAAATGTATTAAATAACACTAACCAGGTACAGTGGAGGCCAGAGAGTTTGAAGCTGATGTGAGTGGCCGAAACATAGGTGGGGGTGGGGGCGGAGGTGGTGGTGGTGGTGGTGGTGGTATTTTGAAACATCCGTTATCGAAAGGCTGATTAGATTTATTTATTGGAGTTGTAAGCAGTTCAACGTCATGATGTTTATTTGGAGTACTCACAAAACTTTCATTGTTCTTTTCTACAACTTCAGGTGTTCCAAGAGAATTTGGGGAACTCAATAAATTTGTTACTTCTGACACGTAACCAGAAGAGTACTGTGAAGATGGTGATGGCTCGCTAGTAACGTCTTTCATTTCCTTGAAACAAAAAGGAATAAACCTTGAAACTTCGAGAAACTAATTTTCATTGAATATGAACTTATTACCAAATATAAACCAAAGTTTTAAGCAAATCTTAAATGGGTTATAATTTGTAGGTTGATTTCCAGAGATTTCTTGAAAATTAAGCTAGATTTAAGTTTGAATATTTGCCATATAAATGATAACATGGTAAAAATATTTTTAGTATAATTGCAACTCCTATATATATACTCACGTATGCTATTTATAAAAGATATTAATTTGATCATATAAAATTCAACATTCAGTATTTTCCATGGATTAATTCACTTTATGACATAATGTTAGTTGAATTTTTGTCAATATTACAATCAATTTTCAACTTGTTCACCAAGTCGTGCTTTAAACTTTTCTTGTATGGGAGCACTTTTCGAGTTGGTACAAAATTACATGCTAGATCATTCAGTATACTTTTATTCGAAAAGTAACCGAAGCATCTCAGATTTTATAACAATAAACGTTTTAAAGTTTAAAATATTAGTTAACAATCGAAACCATTGATATAGTAGGAAGAACAAACACAAAAGCAGATGACCATGGAAAGTAGTATTTACTTATTTAATGGCGTATACTTATGTGCAATGAATGCATTGCATTAGATCCATCAGGACTTAATTGTGCCTGGTAATCAAACTATTTAGTAACATTTGGAAATAAGCGCAACCTATACAGTTAGATTTCGACACTTTCCAATGAGTGCACTTCTTGTAGTATTTTAATTTCGATTAGAACAGGAAATATTTAACAATAGTAATATCATACCTCATTTGAAGTGGTCTGCTCTTCGATTAGTGATGTTTGTATACATTTTTCTGAAGTTCTAGATTCTTTTATTCGTTTAACTGGTTCTCTTTCCAACTCACGTATTTCAAGTCTTCGGAATTTATTCATTAATTCCATATTCACATCATATTGAGCTAGCTGAACAAAATATTGCATGGTATATATAAGTGAAAAGCATTTATGATATTAAGATTATTTATAAATTATTTCTTGACCAGGTAGGGTCTGTAATCAGATGCTATACAATCATGAATATAGTTTTAATAAAAAAACAATAGGGATAACTCTAGTGAATGTAAATTTCTAAATTATAGAACATTGTAGTTTGCCTTGCATTTTTATGATATTCAGTGGGTACTCATTAGAACATTTATACTTCAATTTAGGAAGCTTAAGAAAAGTTATCTGATTCGTTAGTTGGTTGAGTTGCGCCTGCATACTGTAATTCATGCAAATCAACTTAAATCTCTTTCTTGATTTAAATTTAAGCTTATACTGAAGAAACTCAAAACTTACTGCTGTCCAGTGCTTCCAGGCTTTTCCTGGTGGTCTAGCTTCAATTGACTAACGCTTTCATCAAATTAAGTTGTTTATATAATCTGTTATTTTATATCTATCTAAATTACGGCATTCAAAGATATAGTCATTTATTAGAGTGTTGACCCATCCATAGGGAAACCAAATTATGTTATTTCATAAAACACAATTATATGAACGAAGAATAGTCTTTTCAATAATTTCTCATCAGGTTCTACAATTATAAATCCAGATTAATAATCCAGCAAAAATTGCCGAAGTTTAAGGCAGAGTACATCATTTAAAATTGTAATCTGTGAATCAAGGAAAGGCTATCTATTAATTGGACGAGTTCTGGTATTCAGTAGATTATAACCAATGAATAAAATGTCATGAATTTATGGACTTTTATTTCACAAATTAAAACTATGCTAAGCAATGTTAGTATGGTATTAGTGTACCTGTTAAATTTACACCATACATTACCAGTTGATACTATAAATTATCGAAACATCACACAATTCAATAACCAAGTAAAGTTTTGTACATATGTGGCCCTATATCTGACTCCAGTTAGATCGGACGAATGATCGTTTTTGAATGATTGCTGTCGAAATATACAACCTTGCCACACTAATATATGATCATCGACTTAACTCGTATTAATGAATAACGGAGTTAAATAAGTCAAGTACGACAATGAATTTCGAATACGCGTATTTGATACAATTGTTGATCTAAACAAACGATCGCAGAAACGAAGCGAATAAAGTGAATATGAGGGAGCGAAGCGAAACGACGCTCAGTGGAGAGTGAGTTTGAGCCAACTCAATTTAGCTAATCGTGAATCGACATTGATAGTGGAACAAAAATAAGTTACAGACACATAATGAGTATGGTAAGTAAGTATCACACATACCATCATATAAGAAAGTCAGGATTATTAAGCGAATAAGTCATAGGGTAAAAATGTGCTATGAGAAGAATGAATAGACTGATCTATCCAGAAGCTAGAATAAGCTGTGTAGGCTTGACATAGCATTAGAGAAACTCCCTGAGTGTATGGAGCATTTTCCCCTTCGTGACCGGAGTACAGCAGCATCTCTCCTGTACCTAGCCTTTGTTGTCCAGTTTGTATCCAATGGGTTTCGCTGATTCCGACTACTGCCAAGTTGTATCTCCTCAATTCCATCGCTATTTGGCTGGTCTTTCCTGTCTCCCACATTGTCCGGACGTTCCATGTACCTATAAAGAGTGTTGCTCTGGTTGTTAGAAGGTGCATCGGTCTCGTGACTACCGAAGAATTTCGGCTTTCATCATGAGACGTCATAATCATTCCTTCAACTCCCAGGGCAGAGTTTAAATGGTTTGAATTATTTTTTCTGGTTAGCGTTTTTTTTAGCGAGTTAGCTTTTCTACGGGACGGGGTCGCTAACCCCATGCCCAACCCTCCTCCTTTACCCGGGCTTGGGACCGGCAGTAACTCTAGAAGAGCTACAGGCGAAACTCAAAACAACTTTCAACTAATTTAAAGGTCAGAATCGTTAATATAAATTTCAAGACAGTCCTACTGTATGGAGCTGAAACGTGGAAAACTACTACGATCATCATCAGGAAGGTACAAGTATTTATAAACAGTTGTCTACGCAAAATACTCAACATCCATTGGCCGGATATTATCAGCAACAGCGTTTTATGGGAGAGGAAAAACCAGCTTCCAGCTGAAGAGGAAATTAGGAAAAGACGTTGGAAGTGGTTCGGACATACATTAAGGAAATCACCAATGTGCATCACGACTCAATCCCTAACTTGGAATCCGGAAGGGAAGTGGAAAAGAGGAAGGCCAAAGAACACACTACGCCGGGAAATAGAAGCAGATATGAAAAGGCTGAATAGTAACTGGAAAGAACTGGAAAGGAAGGCCCAGGACAGAGTTGGATGGAGAATGCTGGTGAGCGGCCTATGCTCCTCGACGAGGGGTAACAGGCGTAAGTAAGTAAGGCTTGACATAGTATCGGCCCCATATAGTACGAAAAACTTCAATCTATAATCATTACATTAAAGGCATGTGCACTAGCTGCAATTTATTAGGTTAGTCAAATCATCAAGTACTTTGTCTTGACATTACAGTTAAATTTTAATTTGTAAACAAAATGTACATCCTCTTACCTTGGTCTTTGGCGATATTTCTTGAGATCCAAATAAATATTTTGAATTTTGTACTAATGCAGAGGTGCACTTGCGGTTATACATACTACTATAAAACCGATTTTGAGATCTACGTTGAAAGCACGGATTATAGTTCATTGAATTTGTCTCTTTGCATGACTCAGGCTTTTCACAATTGAATCTATAAAATTAATGGACTTATTACAAAGTGAATATTTTGAACTATCAGGAATTCCAAAAAAGGTAACAGAATACTTCTTTTTTGTTAGTGTTATAAAAAGTGTCTGTGAAAAACACATTTGTGCATGAATGTACTTTAAATTATCCGGTAGTAATTATATAATCAAAAGTAGATTGTATTTGAACGACTAGATTTTAGTAATAGGAAGATCAAGTAGTGTATAAAGGAAATTGACTTTGAATTTAAGTACCCACAAAACAACTGTATTTTGAAACAAACGAATGAAAAACTCACTAGTCTAACATTTCTGATAAATCACGAGAAAACTGGTAGGGTAGGATTCGAACTGGTTGAACCAACTTACGTCTGCTACTGTCTAAAATATTAAGTTAGGATTAGATGAGGATATACTAATCCTGCAAAGTGATATCAACTAGGCTCATTCAAAGAATCTTATTTTCTAGTTTTGTTTGACGAATAAAATAGACTTTAGAAAAAAATAAACAATTGAAGCTGAAAAGAAAACTAAATTGGAATAAATTTCGTGTTAAATTATGGCATCGGTCATCAGTAGGGAAACTTTGAAACATATTCAGGAAATCCAATGGATTTTAGTCTTAATATTCGTGATAGAAAATGAGAAGAAACATGCAATGGTTAAGATTATTGTTTATTAATATTTATTTTAAAAAAAATTATTATTAGCTTTATTCAATATTATTCAATATTATTATGCCCCCAAATGCCCTGGTACGGCCGAGAGTGGGGAGAGTCTACTCTCCCTCTCAAAATGCTCTCACATGGCCAGCGAATATATAGCCTCTACCAGGGAAGTCCTACTCACTGCCTTCTCGTGCCACGGGTGTTGTTTACGAAAGTGAGAGGACGAAAAGCGAATGTCCGGCGCTTTAACCGGGTTGGTGGACATGGAGGGTCCACCTAGGGGAGTTGGAAAACCCTCATTCCAAACCAATGGTGCACATGGGCTCCAGTATCCTGATGGAACGAATGGCGAATGAACCTGTCATTGGTCAACGGCTACCATGGGACTGCATCTCCTCACGATGCTCCACTGCCTTGTGGATCAGACCTTTAGGTCAAAGGCTCCGGGTGTGGGCCCCTAAGAAAACCACCTGCTTCGTTTTGGGCACCCGGGCAGTATCACAGCCCACACACAAATGAATGAAATGGTGAACTCTATTGACGATAATATCCCTGGTCATACTAGAAGCAAGACAATTTACATTATTATTATTATTACCTTTATTATTATTATTATTTACCATATAGCTAACTCACCCCCTTTTATCCCCAATTTGTGTATCCTTACTTTTCAACTTATGCAGCAGCTCGCTCATGGTGGAAAATCCGTCCTATCCAAACTATCTCCAGTCACTGTCTGGTTGAAAGTGAATGCCTCCACCGATTATGAATAATGAAGCAGTCTTTCTGAAACCACGTACGCCGTTCAACCTGGCTTCCTTCAACGTTCGCACACTAATGCAGATCAGACAACAGATAGGGCTGGCTATGTATTTGGAAGGTCTTAATGTTGATGTTTGTTGTCTATCCGAGACCCGTATTCAAGACTCTAGTGAAGTACTACAAATTCGCTCTCCATCTGTCGCCTCGAAAAGCTTGTTCCACGTGCGCTTATCCGGGGACCCTGCGGCATCTTCGTCTGGATGGAAGTCCGTCGGTCTTCTCCGGGTGACCGTGAGTTTGACCACAAACGAAGGCTGTTACGTAATGAAATCGGGCAAAGCTTGCGTAAGGACCGGGAAGCCTGGTGATCGGAGCGTGCTAATGAGATGGAAGAAGCAGCTGCATCTGGTAACTGCCGGAAGCTCTTCCAACTCATCGGAGCCACTGGCAGCAAGAAGTTTGGTGTGAGTGAAACAATCTACGAGGATGACGGGATGCCAATCACTAACATCTCTCGACGTCTTGGACGATGGGCGGAATTTTTCGAAGGGCAGGTCAACTGGCCTGCTGCTCCGGCAACATCAACCAGTTTGTCCTGCCCCCCATGGCCGGTGACGACAGATCCACCAAAAGAGGCGGAAGTCCTCAAGGAACTCCAACTCTTGAAACGTTACAAATCACCGGGCCCAGATGACTTACCTCCAGCTATTTTTAAAGATGGTGGTGACCTTCTGACTAAGGAATTGACTGTGTTGTTTGGAAAGGTTTGGGAGCAAGAAAGTGTTCCAACATCTTGGAATGAGTCAATAGTCGTCCCTATCTTTAAAAAGGGTTCACGTTGTTCCTGCAATAACTATCGGGGGATAAGTCTACTTTCGATTGCGTCCAAACTATTGGCTTCTATCATTCTTCGTAGGTTGTTTAAAACCCGAGAACGATTGACTCGCGAGGAGCAGGCTGGTTTTCGTTCTGGTCGAGGACGCATTGATCATATCTTCACCCTCCGCCAAATGTTAGAACACCGTCATACTTATCGCAGGCCAACATTCGTAGTGTTTCTTGATATCAGGGCGGCCTTCGATTCGTTGGACAGGACTGTTCTCTGGGATTGTCTATTGAAGAAGGGTGTGCCTGAGAAGTTCATTAACATCTTAAAGGCCCTGTATACGAACACCTCAGGCAGAGTGAGGGCATACAACCACCTTTCTCCCTTGTTCCATTCGAGCAGTGGGGTTAGGCAGGGTTGCCCGATCTCACCATTCCTCTTCAACTTTGCCATCGACGACATCCTGGAAACAGCTCTGATGGATGTAAGTAATGGCGGTGTGGATATGTTGTCTGGAGAACGACTTCTCGACCTCGAGTATGCGGATGATATTGTCTTACTGTGCGACAATGCTCAAGCCATGCAATTCGCACTTAATCAGTTGGCAATCAGTGTCCGCAGGTACGGCATGTGCTTTGCACCCTCCAAGTGCAAAGTACTCCTACAAGACTGGCAAGATTCTCATCCTGTACTCACCCTGGATGGTGAGGAGATCGAAGTAGTTGAGAAGTTCGTGTATCTAGGTAGCTATATAAGTGCTGGTGGTGGCGTGAGTGATGAGATTGATGCACGTATAATGAAAGCCAGAGCGGCTTATGCCAATCTGGGCCATCTTTGGCGCCTTCGTGATGTTAGTCTGGCTGTAAAAGGTCGGATCTACAACGCGTCGGTGAGAGCAGTTTTGCTCTATGTTTGTGGAACCTGGCCTCTCAGAGTTGAGGATGTTAGACGTCTCTCTGTGTTCGATCGTCGTTGTCTCCGAAGGATTGCTGACATCCAGTGGCAACACCATGTTAGTAATGCAGAGGTTTGGCATCGTGTGTTCGGGCGCAGAGACGATAATTCAATTGGTGTCACCATCTTGAAACACCGACTTCGGTGGCTTGGACATGTTTTACGAATGTCGTCCCAGAGACTTCCACGTCGTGCATTATTTGCCGACCCTGGGACTGGTTGGAAAAAGCGGAGAGGAGGTCAGTGTATGACATGGTGTCGTGGCATGAAAGAAAGCTGCAAAGGGCTAGCTTCTGTTGGTCCTTCACGACTCCCTGGCTGGGGTCCAAGGGATGGTGCAACACGGTGGCTAGAGACGTTATCAAATATGGCTCAGAATAGAAGCCAGTGGCGATCCTGCTGCAACCTTCTTTTACTTTCTACATAAAGAATGGTTCTAACTTTTCTAACTGAAAGAGTCTTCTGATTGTACATTTCAGTCCGCCTTATCTTTTCATCCCTTTTCTTCCTACTTTCATTATTTTGTGTGGCGCATATGTATCTGGTGCCCTTTTGTACCAATATATATGTGTTTAAATAAATAAATAATAAATAATTCAATATTATATTTTTGGTACAATATAGAATTCTCAGCACAAAATACTTCAACAAGTTTCCGTTTCTTACTTCTTCGTCCTTCCTGACGGTAAATATTGAGTGATCGCCAGTTAGAACTTAGCAGCCCAGTCAATCGACATCTGGATAATGTACATTCTTCTCGCTGCATATTGCCAGCAACCACAATATCTCTGATTAAGCCTTCTGTAACCTTTACAGCGAAAGGTCTTACACTTTTCGGAAACGTACGAAATTAGATAACTTGTTGAAATATCTAGATGACAGGAACAGGTAGCCCAGATGTTTAAACAGGCCGCCATGTATGATCACTTTCAACAATGTAGAAAGTTTTTACGTAAAAACTGTTAAAGGTCAATATTATGGCTACTCTATTGATAAACGCGAATAAAAGTTCATAGCTTTTTTCTAGTACATAAATAAGGTGAATTCTTATTTTATTATTTTACAAGTAAATGTTTCTGAGAAAATAACCAGATGGTAATAAAATAATGATTATTTTATTGTTCTTTAATTGCATGATATGATATTTTAAGTGAGATGTTTACACTTTTGTTGTTTACCAGTTTGATTAATTTCTAAATTTCTTGCATTCTAACGTAACTGATGTCATCTATAACTTTTGTACTCTTTTTTTTTGATTAGCTTCCAAAAGTTTATGATATGGATTTATGAATGTTGTAAAAGTTGACTGGTAGGCTTATTCCTTGTCTTTTTGCTGACTAATATTTAGAATACACTATAATATTGATCAGTTCATGATCTCAATTAAAAAACTTGACTATCTCTACAGTCTTATACAGATAATTATCATAAGCTCACTAAGGACTAGCTTCGAGATAGATTTATTGGAGTCCTAGTAAAAAGTCTTGACTAGTGGAGTTCATTCGTGTTTGTTGTGAGGCAATTACTTACTGAAGACAATGGAGGAAGATTATGCAATTTCGTGTATTGGTTGAAGTTAGACATTAACACCGCTGAATGCCTGCTCAGTGGTCTAAAGTTTAAGCGTTCGTGTGCGAGACAGAAGGCCCAAGGTCCGAGTCCTGCGTGTAGGGTCGTGGGTGTGCGCTGCTGAGTAGTCTCATACTGGGAGGAAAAGGCAGTCTGTCACTTTCAGGTTTTCAACGATGGTCTAATATAGATCAGTTCATGATCTAATTAGATGAAATATAGTTAGATTATGGTAATCCTTTAATTAAAAATCGTGGCTTAAATATTCTAAAGAAGGGATTTATACATTTTTTCAGATGTATGTAAATAGTACCATAAAAAAATTGCTATGATATCCTAGACTGAACATTGAAGAAAGCCTTCAAAATAACACTAAGAATCTGAAGAGTGACTCCTATTTTCCAACTATTTCCAAGGTGTCTTCATCTTTAAATAAGAAAAAAACACAATTCATTATGTGAATATAATGATCACACTTCTATAGAATAATTCATTTACTCCTCTTTTGTAAATGTCATATGTTAGGACGAAAATTATTTTAATTCCAAATAAACGTTGACATTAGTCAAACTTCAGTCAGTCAGTCACAACGTAGAACTTCGTACGTACGTACATCAGTTCAAGTTGCCATACCACATAGTGGTGGAGGTAGTAAGAGTATAAGCAGTAATCGAACAGATTAAGGTGTAAAGATGTTATCCAATGAGTATAGTCCAGTGAAATATATTTGGAGAGGGAAAAAGGGGGCATGAAAAATTCAGAAGATTAGAATTTGGGAGAACATAAAGAGTGGATGCACCTTCGCCATTGCAAAGATTTTGAGCCATGTCATTCAAGGTCTCTAACGACCAATTGCTATCATCTCGTGGATCCCAACCAGGTAGTCTACACCTACCAACATGGCTCAGTCCATTTATCAGTGACTTTATGGATTTGTGCAACGTTTTGGTCTGGCCACCCCTAGCTTTCTTCCAACTTACTCCTACACCATAAAACATTGCACGTCGGGGCAGTCGGTGGTTGGGCATATGTAACACATGTCCAAGCCATCTTAACTGATGAAGTTTCACAAGTCAAACTTCACAAAATTCCAATCAATATAATAAGTAAGAAATAAATGATTTAACTTACTGTTTATTCTTATCTTCAATTTCTTTATTACATTTTAATGAAGTAAAATAATCTTTTGTCTTCCATTTAGATTCTCTGAATGATTTACTAAATCGTTTGGAAAATCTATCATTTGTATTTTGTTTATTATCATTTTCATTAATATAAAGATTTGTATTTGTTTTAGATTTTCTAAAACTTATATTAAATTTTCCAAATATATTTTTCCATTTTTTATCGGCTTCTAATGTAATCTCATCTAAATCATACTTGTCCATTATAAGTTAATGAATAATCTAATTCAGTTGATTGAATAAATATTGGTTTCAAGTGATTATCACTCATCGAATTCATTACATTTTTTATTTTAAACAAGGGGGGGGGTAACCAACACATTGATTGGTTATTTTGTTAATATGCCAAAAGATGATAGTTACTAATTTTTAACATAACTAATTTGTTTACATATAAGTGAGTTAGTATTAGATATAAAGAAATCTACATATATTTGGACTAAACATTCTTTTCTTTCAAGATAGTAAGTAAAGTAAGTGAACAATCATCTAAGACATTTTATACTTATGGTTGCGTAATATAGGTTCATTTCAATTAGACTAATGACTATATTGCATAGTTTTTAAAGAAAAACTTGAAAAACTATATTTTAAAACCAAAACTACTAATGAGTCATTTCTAGTCATGAGAGGTTGATAATAAGGTCTTTGATGAATCGATTGAAAGGAATATTTTTGTTTCGAAAATTAATGAGGTTTGCATTACCGTAAATGTTGCCAAAAGCGTTTTTAAAAAAATCAAATGTACGTATATATTTTGTTAGTGTAATAAGAAGACGTCTTCTTATTACACTATTGAAATTTATCAAAGGGACTAATTGCCTTACAATTCCTAAAAGAAGACTCCCTGCACGTACGTATATATTGCAGGGTCGGTGAAATGTCACTGAACCCTAGCCAGATCATCCGGCAGTTGAGTCACTAAATATCGAACAGATCATGGATCCCCATCAAGGTCAAGGACAATCACCACGCATCAGTTAATTATACGCCATGGACTGGCATATGTGGCAGTGGTTCTACTTTCGCTTGTATCTACTTTAACTAATATATTCCTGTTATAACGTCCTTTGTGTTGTACAGTCTTCAGAGCATCCATGGTCCCTTGATACGTCAATGGGGCAATCCACGTAAGGTGCTGATCGCGAGGTGTGACTTCGAAGTTAGCTTTTAAGTTACACCGTCCCCGTCTAACTCGAGTAGGCCTCCAATCATTCGACACAGATCGTCAACGTTGATTGTCTAGAATATGTTTATTATTTATAGGGATAAGTTATCATTATGAAACATTTCTTCAAGAAATGTGACTACAATTAAGTATAAATGAATTGAGACAATGACCATTTTAACTAATATTAGTATTAAATTAACAAAATCTAACTACTGTGGCTTCAGCATTCATTAAAAGTAGCTATTTGATTAGATTTATGGTTAAATTACGTCCTAAGTGAGGACGTTATTTAACAAAGTTAGATCAATTAGAGAACCAGTGTAAGACAAGGACCATTGAACAAATATTCAGTTCGATTTTTACTTACATCTGTTTACAAATGGGTTTGGTTATTTTCAGGTCTCTTTGAGATCACGGTAACACCCTAGGCTCATGTTCTTTAATATTTAGAATCCTGTTCACAGGGTCAAAATAAAACAGTGAATGACATTCAAATACACCTTTATTTGATTTCACGATCGCAATATTAAACTGTCATATCATTTCTTTATTCTCATTCTCAACATCATTAAGCAAAGCATACTACGGGAGCTGATTCATAAAAAGTACGGCTGAGACCAAAACACAGTGTTTTAAGACGGCAAAACTAAATGAATTATCGTCGTCACTATTTCTGAAACACAAGGCCATATATCTCAAAATAATTACATTGTATTATCGATGAGAGTAAACACTCCTTCTGAGAAACGGTTGTTCGAATAGAGAGTCATTGGTTAAGATCAGCTTGGATAGACCAGATTCCAGAAGTATGGCGCAAAAATGTTTGGGTACACCGTTCAACCAAACGTCTACAACCAAAAAAAATAATGGTTGTGCTAAATGTGCCTTCCTTTTCGACCGACATTCACATGACTAACCAAATACATAGAGTGCATAGGACGGGATATAAGTCCGTCAAGATTTCTGTGACCAGCTTGATTGTTATTTATATTAAGCTAAAAGAAGTATAACCAATGAAGTGATAAATTGGGTCATTCCTCACTTCTGGCTTTACAAGGTATTTTTGAGTTATATTAACCTCAACATGTGGTCTAAAAAAGTGTTACTTCTTGTTTGTACTAATTATATTATGGTTAGAAGCCGTCAGAAGTGTTACCTTCTTAGTAGGATTTTTATCATCACTTTATTGATTTTGATGGTATTTCCTTTAAACACTGAATTAGATATTATTATTATTATTATTACCATTACTATTATTCTTACTATTTAATTAATATGTCCATTTTATAAGTGAATTAAATTAAAGGTCATGTACAGAATATTATTTACTTAGTTATCGCTTGTATATAATATATTTATACTTAAGCTGTATAATGTGTCTTCCTACTTTGTATGTTAACAATAACACGTACTTTCTATTAAAACAATAATAAAACAATTTTTTATGTATAACTATTGTTTATATTTAAAGTAATGATAAGGTATTAAACCAATGAATAATCACTTGATCAGTTGTTATGACAACGTAAGTCCCTGTTAAATAAATTAGAATAATAAAACGAACAGTATAACATTCATCTTCTATATAAATTCATGTTGATAATGTTCTTTTAACATAAATTATATATTTTCTTAAGTTTACAATTATTTAATTAACCAAGTTTTCTAAAAAACAAATATGTCCGTCATTTTTACTGTTGGGAAAAAAGCTTCAGAAATTGTAAGTAGTACAAGTTCTCCATTGCCAAAAGTACAAAGGGCTCAGTAAGTTGATTTGAACTTTGACTATAAATAAGTCCATGTATTTGCTAGTATGTATATATATACATATATGTTTATTAGACAGTTGACTTTTCTGATGAATATATAGAATTTACTTATAATTTTAATTATGAAAATCGATATTATGAATGCTTTACATGATAAACTCATCTACTACTTTTGTGTATCAAAAAATCATATTGTTACTAGGTATACTCTTGTTTAAAAAAAAAGTATTTAAAGTTATGATATAACCGTAATATAACACGAAAATTGTTATTTGCGTTCAAAGCAAAAAAAACAACTAAATAAATGAACGTGAATTTCAAGAAAATGACATGTCAAACATTGGTCTTGTACATAACTTATGATGAATTTCAATTTTAATTAGTTTCTATGAATAAAATGTGTTTATATTCAAGATTTTCTTTTTCATTGGTTAGAGAAACAAAAAAAATGTATATTTTATGTAAAAAACATACTGTACAAACAAATTTATGTATTTTATTTAGATTGCCTTTCTGAAGACTTTTTTGTCTAATTTTGAATTCTATTAAACATATTTTACTTAGAGATATATGAATATTTCTAAATCGATGCAGTATACTAACTACTAAGGTACTTGGTTGACAGAATGCAGGTATTCAGTCTTTTCTGTTTCTATATCTAATGTCAATTATTGAAAACAAACATTTTACAGTCATAAGGGGAGTTTTGTGGAAATTTTAGTGATTTTGTAGTTGAAATCATGAGTTAATTGAAGCTAGACCACCATCGAAAACTTGGAGGCACAGGACGGCCGTTTTGTCCCATCGTGGGACTCCTCAGCAGTGCGTATCCACGATCCTGCCTTGCGAGATTCGAACCCGGGACTTACCAGTCTCGTGCCAGAGCACTTAACCGATAGACCACTGAGGCGGCAGTAGCTAAATGGATAACTCAATGGCGTTTGAAGCGAACGGTACTGGGTTCGAGTCCCAGAGTGAACATCAACTCTGAGATACAGATACATCCGGCTGACGATCCGAAATGGGACGAAACAAGCGTCATGGTTTCCACTGCTAACCACTATTCATTCTTTCTTATACAGCTTATGACTTCAGGCAATATCGAAGCAGTCCGCATAGGATGAACATATGCCAACAAGAGACTGATCATTTGGAGTCCAAAATAATAGTGGAAAGATAGAAGTAAACAACAATAAGTGAATATATCTTACAGTTTATTTTATTCACAAATTATATCTGAAGAAAATACATGATGAATTGTATTTCAATATCTAATTTTCACTATGAATTTCTTAATGCTTATGTTTTAATTGGTGAAACTTTGAGTTTCTTTAATATGATAGTAACAGTAATCGATATTTCGTTCGATACATTCATAAAAATTTTTCTTAGATCATTGTTTTAAAATAAATTTTGTAATAACAACAAAAAAAATTAAACAAACCATTATTTAGTTACGTCAAATTGTTTATCTATCGATTTCCAGTTTGTGAATAACGTTCATTTTATGGTTATATAATGAGAAATATAACGATTTTTTGATGGGTTGAATAGTTAGACATATATATTTATGTAATCAGTTATTTTACAATGACTTTGTTTACCGACATTGTTGCGTAATTATTTTTCAGTCAGGTATTTATTATTTACTTACTTACGCCTGTTACCCCTCGTAAAGGGGCATAGGTCGCCTACTAGCATTATCCATCCGACTCTATCCTGAGCAATCCTTTCCAGTTGGTATTCATTCTTTTGATATCTGTTCAACGTGTTCATTGGTCTTCTTCTTTTCTTTGAATTCTTTGCCTTCAGGATTCCAAACTAGCGCTTGTTTCGTGATGCAGTTTGATGGTTTCCGCAATGTATTTCCTATCAACCTCTGGCGTCTTTACTTAATTTCCTCTTCACTTGGAAGTCAGTTTTTTCTTTTCCACAGTAGGTTGTTGATGATGGCATTTGGTTGACGGGTCAGGATTATCTTGAGTAGATAGTTTTTTTAATGAATATCTGTACTTTTTTGATGGTAGTTGTAGTAGTTCTCCAAATTGCAGCCCCGTACAATAGAATTATCCTGACTTTAGTGCTGGTTGAGAGTTGTTTTGAGTTCCATATGTTCTTCAACTGTTAGAATGCGGTCCTCGATTTGCCACTCCTCACGTTTACGTCTGAATTTGATGCTCCTTTCTCATCTATGATGCTTTCCAGGTACATGAAAGATTCAATCTCTTCCAGAGTTTCTTCATCAAATATGATTGAGTAGGTATTCTCCGTGTTGAAATTCAATATCTTGCTTTTCCCGATGTGTATGTCGAAGCCTACTGCCATAAACGCTGCCGCTATACTGGCTGTCTTCACCTGCATTTATTATTGTGTATTGAGCTAGGAATATTTAGACT